GAAGTCCATGTAGACAAAGGCATGAAACATGGACAAAGAATTACATTCAGTGGAGAAGCAGATCAGGCTCCAGGTGTGGAACCAGGCGATATTGTCCTTTTGCTCCAAGAAAAGGAGAATGAGGTAATGCTTTTATCTTTTAAATGCCTTTTATCCTAGTTGTTAATATTTAAGTTGTATAGTGGCCATTCATTTAAAGTAATTCATATAGTTGGAGCTCTGGGAGAGATGGTGAGTAGCTTTTAATAAATTTATAGCGTGTAATGTGGCTTTCATGGTGAGCCAGAGAAAACTGTGCGAGTCCTTAGCCAGAGCAAGGCAGATTCTGGTGCTTCCTACTGCTAATAAAAGGTAGCTTTCTCAGATAAGCTCTGAGTGACTTTGATGCAGTAGATGCAGCGAAGAGCTGTTCGGGATGTTAACTTTAATCTGCTTTGCTTGTGACACTAACAAAATGCTAAGTGTTGCTTTTTTGAATGTCTTGTGACATGGCAGGGAACTCCTGATAAAATCCCCAGATGGTGCTTTCTGTGTCTGTTACTGTGGTTCTGGAAATAACACAAAATGGTGATGTTGCTGATTCACTTAACAAAGCAGAAGCATTATTATTTTATACTAGACTCGTACTCACTGTATTCTGGAGTGTATAGGTTGCACTTTGGAATTAAATATGGCAATTTATCTTTTTCTGTTAAAACTCTTGGGGCAGAGTTGAGGTGACTGTGCTTTTTTTGGAATGCTTTTGTTTAAAAATGCCAGGTATTACTGTAATGAAATAAGAAATAGTTGGTGTGTTATACTCAGAGGGGGGTGTCTGTTGTGACAGAGAGAATAGCATGAGGTACAAATTTAAACTCCAGTCATATATTAAGGGTATAATGTTGGTTACCTGATAATTAGGTACTTTGTAAGATTTTCAAAGCTGTGTCAAGGACTGCTAATCTGTTGGTCTGTACTTTGTCCTAGAGAGTAAAACTAGGTAGACTTTTAATGTTCTTAAAATTTTCCTTGAGGTGGCAATCATGGTTCTGCCAATGGATAAATCTTAGATTTACTCTGATTAAGAATCTTGAGCAATATAGCTTAAAGGTCACTTCTGACAGCTGTGGACTAACTGATTGAAGTCCTGCTGTAGATCCGGTTTGCTAAAGCAGATATGCATGATGACAAAATAAAAGTTGAGAAACAAAGATGTGGTTTATATACTCAAGTGCAGGGGAAGTGCTATGGTAACTTTTGTTGATATGTTGCTATGTGGAAGATGTTGGGGGTAAAAGAGCAGTGCTGCTATACAGGCTTTGTTTAATTTGAACCTTAGCTCATAGCATGTGGTGTGGTTTCCCTTATCTTAGATGACACTTGTGTCAGAAACAAACTTTCCAAGCACGTTAAGCTGTCTGAATTAACAGAATCAAGTTAACTTACACAAGGGCTGTTGCTGTGACATTGATTTTAAGGATAAATAATAATGAACTTATTAAATAATGAGCCTGGTGGAGTTATGATTATAGGACTAGAAAAGACATCCGTTTTTATTTTCCAGGTGTTCCAGCGAGATGTGAATGATTTGCATATGACACACAAGATTGGACTTGTTGAAGCACTGTGTGGGTTTCAGTTCACATTTAAGCACCTTGATGGACGTCAAATTGTGGTTAAATATCCTCCTGGAAAAGTAATTGAACCAGGTAAACTTGGCCTGATGAGGATTTCTTTGATTATGCTTTTGTGATTCTTTAACACTTAATCCCATTCTTGTCCTTTTAACTGAACCTAAGCAAGGAAAACTAAAATTATGTGGAGACAATGGTTCTGCAGTAGCACTCTCCAGCTTATTTCTCTTTGAATTCCAGGTTGTGTCCGTGTAGTCAGAGGTGAAGGAATGCCACAGTATCGCAATCCTTTTGAGAAAGGGGATCTTTACATTAAATTTGACGTTCAGTTTCCTGAAAATAACTGGATTAGCCCAGAAAAGCTTTCAGTAAGTAGTTTTTCAAGCATAACTGTGGTGTCTTATTTGACAGTGTGTGCCAAGGGCATGCGTTGTACCTCATGTGCTTGCTTTCAGTGGTTAAATTTAGATGCAAGTACAATTGTTCTTTTAACTTTTTTAATGGGCAACATGTTACTTGGAAATACTCATTGGAATAAGAATTTATTAACCTGTGTTTAAGAGCTGTGCAGATGTTATGCAGACGAAGGCAGGAGGAAGAATCTTTCTGTTGCTGTGTGATAAGTTGTCAGAGCGCGACTGTATTTACTGATTGCACTTTCAGTTGATGATATGTTGAGTTGGTTTTCTTTCTGTGGTGTCTTCCAATTGATACAAATACTTTTAAATGAGTCTGTGCTTCAGGGCTTTCATCAGCTTAGACTTCTAAACCAAACCTGCTCTGTGAGGTGTCTTGAAGGTGTGGGAAACCGGTCACTTTTTACACAGCAGTTGTAGATGCAATACTGAATGCATTTCTTTCTTTGGGGCAGGAACTTGAAGATCTTCTGCCAGCTAGACCAGAATTTCCAAATGTAATTGGTGATGCAGAAGAGGTAGATCTTCAGGAATTTGATACCACTCGTGGTTCAGGTGGTGGCCAGAGACGTGAAGCTTATAATGATAGTTCTGACGAAGAAAGCAGCCATCATGGACCTGGGGTACAGTGTGCCCATCAGTAAACATTTGTCTAAAAAGTTGCACAAGGATTTTCTTTCAAATTTTGCCTGACTTGTTTTCAACAATCCAGCTGGATTGTATAAGTAATCCAGATGAACCAATGGACATCTATTGCTGTATGTGTAACTTTTAAATTGGTCTATAGTATCTACAGAGTGTAATTTAAACTAACCACAAGCTTACATCTTCATTTTGACTGTGTAGCAGAATAAAGCACTTGAAAGGAAGACGAGACTCCTTTTCACATGGGTTTTAAGTTTGTCCTCGTATCTGTGCTTGATTTTTATCAGTTTTGTGTAGATTTTAAGTTTCATATTTTAAATTCAAATTCTACATTGTAAAGTTTGTGTACAATTTGTCCTGAGGCTTGGTATTTGGCTGCACCTGCATAAGCTGCTACAAGTAGAATCAAGAATTTCATAGCCTGTATCTATCATCTAGATGCATGGTAATAAATGGGCTTTGCACATAATGGGTTTAGAGCTGACTGGGAACAATGAAAGACTGAATTAGAAGTGGTTGTAAGTTTTTTCTACCATCTTGTGAACGGTTTCTGAAATTAAATAAAAGCAGTTGGTGTATAATATATTTCTTTTGCCTTGTAACTCTTACTTTTCCAGTGGCTTTAACTAGTCTGTGTATGAGGAGACAATGTAGATGATAGACATTTTGTAAACACAGGGAGGCTGAAGCTGCTTTAAGACTAAGCTAAGGTTAGGTAACAATTGTGTGCCACATAAAAGTCTTTTCCTGAAATGAAACTTGACTAAATGGGCACAGGGAAGGTTGCAGCCATGTCCCCTTTGTGTGAAGAAAACACAAGGAATACTGAATTCAGTTTGAAGATAAGAAAACATTTAAATGGGGATGATTATATTCTGAAATAATGGTGTTTTTCTTTTAGCCTTTGAATCCTACTCAAAGCCTGATTCAGCCTCACTTCCTAGAGAAATGTTTCCAGTTTAAAAAAAAAATATGTTTGACCTGGAAACATCATAAATGTAGATGGTTTTGTTACTTTTTTGGTAGTTTGCACTTTGTTTTAATTATGAAGATATTAAGTTCTCCAGCTTCAGTTCTGTTACTTTGAATTGGTAAAAATGCCCCAACAAGGCAAAAATGTGACCTTAATTAAGGAATGTTGTGCATGAACAATGTTTGGTTGGTAAGCTGCCTCTCTATAGCAAGGTTTCTCTCCCTGTTTAAGTGAGAAAGTTGAAGCTCTACTTTTCTTTACAAATCTGAAGTGTGACTTGTTTAGTTATTGCTCTGATAGTTGTTGACATTTTACCAATGAGGTTGGAGGGACAAACTCCAGGGGTTTCCATGTGCTTGGGTAGGCATTGGCATTTGAGTGTTGCTGAACATCCTTGTTATAGACTCTAAAAATGAAGCAAAAATAAATACTGTTTGATCTGTATTTCAGTATTGACTTATGCTGTGGCATTCTCTGGTGGATCTTTTATTTTCATTTATTAAAACTTTGGGTTGCTTTTTGTGAAGCCATGGTTACATGCTGATCCTTTCTCCTGACTAATTTCTCCAAGAAGTCGATCACTTTAACCTGTACTGCTTAAACAATTACACCACCTGTCTTCTGGTTTTAAGTAGTAGCTTTAAGATACACTTCCTTGAAAAATAGAGTACTATTCTAAACTTTTAATCTCCTTTCAAATTGTTTTTTTGAGGGGGAAGAGAGGAAGGGATTTCAGGTAAGGTGCTGAAGTGGAAGGTGGAGGAGGAGTTGATCACTGTATATAGGCTAGTTCTCCTTGAGTCCTGAGATGGCATTAATTTAGGCTCTTGCCAGCAGCATCAAAATGGTGAGGGACCCACAGAGGTGTGTTGGCCTGTTGCAAAGCACTGCCTTTTCCAACCACTTGAACAATGCAGGTTTACCCCAGTGTAGTATGGGAGTGAACAGTTCATGTTGAAATGTCCATTTGCCTGCAATAATTAAAAGCTGATACCACATGATTAATTCAGTGGAAAATGGATGTTAATTCAGGTTAAACTATTGAGAACTGCCTAACTAACTGTTCGTGAATGTTCTGTACACTTCGTGTTTAACCTAAAGGAGAGGTTTGTTCTTATACTTACGTAAAAAAACCGGAGTCCTATTTAGAATATTAGAGTTCAAACTCACTTCCTACCTACGACCTATTACTGCTCATTTTACTGGGAACTGATGTTAGATTTTAACTAAGCCTTTTATAGAGAAATTGAGAAAGTAGCATTTTCTTCTGCTTAGTATCCTTCACAGAGATAACAGGAACTTAATAAGACACATCACATGATATAAAAGCTTACAAAAACATTTACTGGCCGGTATACAGCTTTATTAAGACATAACAAGCATTATCTAAACACTTCAGAGGCAGCATGCAAGAACTGTCACCAGTATCCTGTGGGCACAAGACAGTTCCATTAACTTGGTTTAGCTGTTGCCTTTCCACACAGTACAGTCAGCTCACTCTAAGGGGGGAAAAATCATTTTAGTTCAAGCCACCCAACAGATCTTGGAAGAAGAAAAAGTTGCTCTTGCTAAAACAAGCAGTGAATCCTCACTCCCTCCCCCACTGTCTGCCTACAGAGACAGGGCCATGTTATAAAATAACAGAACAGCTTCCAGACCCTTAACTCAAATAGCTGCAATGAAGTCTCAGTGCCTGCACAACTGTAAACTGGCTAATATTTCTTATGTCTGGATGGATTTCCATTGCTTCAAACAATACCCAGGTACCCTCATCTTCAGAAGAGTGGGGCACTATGTGCTACAGAGTTTCTGCTCCACTTCCTTTTGCTTCAAAACCATTTACCTCCCTGAATCAGAGGTAAGGCAGTTCCTATTCAATTGCAGCAGAGAATTAAGAGCTGTATAGTCCTTACTAAGCAAGGGACACACAATACTAGATTATAACAAGGATCAAAACTTGGCTGTAGCTTTGTCAGCCTCTGAACATGAGATAAGAGAATGGCACTTTGCTCACATGGTAGGAGAGACACCAGAGCAGTGTAGAAGGGAGTTTATGCTCTGTGGTCCCCCAGGCTGTTACCAAACTGCACATGCTTTTTTAAGGGCATTTACTCTTACATGTGGTCCATGTGCAGCAGTTCTCTCCCTCTTCCTCCCTCCCAGTTTATACCAACCCATTTAGGCTTAACCTCCAAAGAGTTAAAGCACTTAGAATTTGCATTCATGAGAGTATCTCACATGAAAACTCAGGACTAGCTGTCTACTAATCTAAGCCTACTAGTTTAAGCTTACCACCAAGTTATGAATGTGCTGTACTGTATCCTGATTTAGTAGTTGCACATCAATATTACGGAGGTCTCCACCAGCTGTACAGAGTGTCTAAATGCGAACAGAAACAATTTTAAAAGTTACTCTGAAAGTTTTTACTCTCATGCCCAGCTTCTCTGAAAATCACGTGCTTCACTGCAAAACTTTTGGCAACCATTTTTCATTTTGTTTAGCAGCATCTCATTCAGGAATAGTGAGAGCTGTCACTATGAGTGTTCACGTTGATCAACTGCTGTAAGTTGAAAATGTTTAAAAAAATATATATACCTGTCCATCAGCCAGAGGAATGTTTACAAATGGAACTGGTTTATTTTGGGGTACTGATTTACTTCTTTTTAACATGCCTTGAACTCTTCCACGGGTAGGTAAAGTTCTTGAGACAGTCTGTTGTAATCCAGCACTAGAATACAATAAAGATGTTACTCTGAGGTTAACTAACTTCCTATGATCTGTTGGAAATTTTCAATCAAATCCAAGTAGTAGGAAATACACCTAAGGGAAAGGCAGTCAGCTTCAAATTTGTCCAGTTCTGCCACAAGACTCCAGGAAATCCAACCATCAGCAGCATTCACGTTTTATGCCCCTGACCCTGCAGTAACCTTCTGAGCCTGTTACAGGCCAGGGAGCAAGCTGACATTTGGACCACTCAGTGACAAAAACATCCACTCTCCAATACCAGCATTGAATGTTTACAATTTGGGAAAGAGGAAACTTCGTGCCTCAGGGCTCAAGATAAGACATGCTGTATCTGTCTACTACAGAGAGAAATCAATAAATACCAAAGCTGCTTGCTCTGAGAGGTACAAGGCATACCTTATGCCATACAGAATTCCTAAACTTTCATTACACAATTGTTCTTACTCTGCCTAAAAATTGGGTATGTTCTACATGGAAACAAGCCTTTGACATTTTTATCAGGCCAAGGTGAAACTGAGCCAGTTGCTGCTTTTAGGACCCATCTGAGTTATTCATCTTCTCATTTCAGCTGATGACTTGAGCCAAAACCAATCTCTGTAGTGTGTGGAGAATGATATTAACTGAAAATCTTAACTGTTCAATATGCAAAGAACTGATTGTCAAAGTATTTGGGTGGAGGTTTTGTGGGGGTTGGTTTACTTTTTTAAAACACAGCAATATTAGTGACAGTTTAATCAAAGCTGGGCTCTGAGAACAAGTTTGAGCTGTAAACCCTTAAATAGTGAGAATAAAATTTATACTCTTAATACATTTTTTTTAAACTAACTTTAGTTAGGACATCAAATCCTGTGCCTCCATGAGAGTGCAAATTAACACCCACACTCAAAGCAGGAGGTGTAACTGGTTCACATCCCCACTGTCAAATTTAAGTGCAGACCATGAAGATCTGTTATGTCTGGATTGATGATGATTAATATCTAGATTGATAATAATGTAGATATTTAGTGTCTTGGCTCAGCTGATTAGAGCATGATACCAATAATGCCAAGGCTGTGGGTTTGACCCCTGTATGGGCCATTCACTTAAGAGTTGGACTCAATGATCCCTGTGGGTCCCTTCCAACTCAGAATATTCTGTGAAATTCTGTGGTATTTAACAAAATTATTTATTAAGAACAAGTTGAAAACCCCTTACCTGTTGGATACCTTTGGAGTGGCTCTGAGATTTGTGGCACTGCAATGAGAAGTAAGAGACTTTACTCTCCTGCAAGTGTGACTTGCAAAAGGATGTTAATACACTCAAAAAAAAGTAGTTATCAGTTTTATATTTTGTTTGGGGTTTTTTTTGTTTGTTTGTTTGTTCTTGTTTTATTATTATTTTTATTTATTCCTCCTCATCTACTTCCAATGTGGAGTTTTAGCTGGGATGAAGATAGACCGACAGTGGATTAGAGAATGGATTGGGGAGTGCTCCAGGACAGACATCTGGTGTATGCACATGTGAAAAAGCCCTCCTGAGGTAAAAATGGTATCGTGGGACCTAACAACATACAGGAACAAAAGAATTAATTGATGGTAGTAGGTAAGAGAGGGCTGTAATAACCAAACTGAGTGTTTATTACAGAACAATTTATTAGTCCTAACAGAGCAAAGATGCTTTCCTTACATGTTCTCTTCCATTAAGTATTGTTTGGAAATCTATACTGATTCCCTAAGTTCAGAGCTCTGCACCATTCAGTGAGTGATACAACTCCATGTCTTCATCATCTAGAGGTGCTTTTTTGTCCAGGGTTCACAAAACCACAGTGCATCTCACTCAGTCAGGGAAGACATCAGATGTATTCCTGTTGGGCTCAAATCTCAGCTACTTCAGTTTAAAATAATTTTATTCAGCATTCAGAAGTTCAGGTGAGTTAAATAAGCTATCAAAGGTCAGTCTTACCTAGAAAGAGGGTTCAGTTTGCTATTTAAACCAGAGGCCAATGAAACCAACGACTTGGTTTTGGAAACCTGAAAATATATATGTAAGACTGCAGTTAAAAGAAGTGGCATTTGAAAGCAAAATGATAGGTATTTGCAGGAAACAATACTGTAAGAATTCCCTGTTGAAAAAGAGCAGTTAAGCCCCACGGTGCTGCCTTTTATACAGTTCTACATGTATATAAAATGGCAAATATGCATTCTAAAAGGAGTTTCATACTGTTTAAATGTATTCATACTGAAGTTCTGTACAGCCAACCACCTGTCTCATATATACACCTTCAACTTTTAAACCTTACAACTAATGCCTGTAACTCTGCATAGAATCTTTTTGGTCTTTGTTGTTATCTTGCTACATATTTCAGTGTCTGGCTGAGGAGCTACTTTGCACAGACAGACTGAGGTGGTAAAATTAATACTTGATTTGGTTCACAGATTAAAATGGAAAGAATGCACAAGTCATTCAAATATAGAAAAGAATTCATTAAAACAGGCAGGTTTTTTTAAAAAATAAGTTTGAATAAAAAATGTTTTCTCAAAGCTTCAAGACTTATTGACAAGTCAAGAGAGAATGACTGCCAGTATTTGCAAGTCTGTGTGAATTAGTCACTGGAAGTGCAGATACTATATTTCTTTATGAAAATGATTTAGTAAACTGTTTAACCTTGCTTAACTTCAAATATTTTAAATTTAAAACAACTGATTTTTCAAAAAATCAGCAGTTCACTGGCCTGCCTGGTCATGGATCTGGCAGGGTTCCCGGCAGGTCAAAACTGACTAAGCCCTTATGTTTTTTGAATATAAAGAAAAAATAGACTTACTTTTCTAGTTACTTTCTTTGCAGAACTGTGCTTGGCATCTTCATATTCGACGATTGTAGTTACCTTAACTAGAAATGTATTAGCAAGACAAGGAAAATAAAAATCTCATGAAGAGCACAAAACACCACTTCAGACTTGTGTTTAAAACCTGTTTCCCCACTGACAGTTACATGTCTGCTCCACAATGGTCATTCACCTGGACACACTTAAAAACAAACTGTCTCTGTTCCTCGCAGACACTGGGATGCACAGGGCAGTTAAAAGACACCAGATAATCCCTTAACTCTCAGACAAAACAGATTTACATCTCAGTGTCCTCCTTATTGCATATATTGGGATGTGAAGAAAAATGGTGTTTTTCTTACAAAGCTCGGTGGGCAGAAGGTCACAGGGGAAGCAAGGAAAGAGGGTTGACTTTCCTAGCTCTTCTGCTATACTGTAAAGCACTAACAAGTCACTTAAATCTGTCTCTTCTCACCATTTTCAGTGATAAATCCAAAGGGCAGGATCTCTTATCCTTTAAAGTACCTCAACAGTAGCATAACTCATGATCCTCCACACTGAATGCTGGGGGGAACTGTTATACACTTTCCCTTCTTGTATTCTTCAGGCTTAACGTTCCCTTTACAAATGCTCAGTTCAAACCAATAAAAAAAAAAATAAAATTTAAGAACCACAAGCTATGTATTAATGGATTGACTTGCCTTTTTTGCTGTTGGTCCTCACCAGTTTTGGATTTGGTATGTCTTCTAGAGAGCAGTCAGTCTGAAAAAGAAGTGTTTATACAACAAGGAAAGGTCAACAGATTTTGCCCAGTAGATGAATATTATGTTACAGAAGCACATGAAAGCAAGTGACAGAAGTGGGATTGGCTAAACACCAGTTTATTTTTTCAGAAACATCTGGATTTCTGCCAACAGATGACCTTAAAATTTAGGTAATGTTCATAACTGCACTGTGACTGGCTGTCTAGTCTTTTCATATCATCTTCTATTTAAACACACAGCCAAACAAAATATTTTGTCTGAAACATTTACAGCAGGGAGAGAAGAATTCTATTCTGTAAACTGTGATAAAATTTGAAAACACACAACTTACCACTGCAGCAGCAAGAGCCACTTCCTCCCCTCCTTGCAAATCTGTAACTCAAGAAAGTGTAACTTGTTTAGATACTATTACTTGCAAAATTTTTATCTTCAAGTTTTTATCTTATTGCCTATGAAGCAGAACAAGTAATTCAGGATTACAATGGCTTAAATAGTTAACCTTAGTTAGAATACATGTTGCATTGGAACAAGATTCAAGTCTTGTAGAACAACAGTCATCCTACAAAATCATGAAAATTTCAGGATGTTAATTCTTTGAAAGGATACTGAGTGTAGTCACATAGTATATAACAAATTCCAAGAAGAACCACACACATACATTGTACTGCAGAAAGCTAATGCTTTTAGGCAGAAATTTCTCAAGAAAAGCACTGAAATACATACTCAGGCTTATGGTAAACTCAAGTTCATCAAGAGTCTTAAGTTTGATCTTTGTGTGGCCCCTGCAATTTCCAGGTGCAAGGTAGATTCCAAAAACATCAGTTCTCACCAGAATATATATCTGAGGCTGAGTGTATACCACATCTTAAACTGCTGCAGAAATGGGAGTTAAAATTAAACTTGCTTGCTTATCAGCACAGATGAACAACTAGCTGAGAAAGGCTCAGTAGGAAGACTCCAAACTGAGAAAGACAAAAAAAATCTCTGTTGCTGGCATTAACAGTCAGATGGACAGTAGCACTTACATTTTCATGCACAGAAAACACTAGGTCTGTAATTATTCCTTGTCTCTTCAGACTTTAAATGAGACTACTTAAGAGCACACATAAAACCCTCCAGACTCTATACACACACTAACTCTACACCCTGTTTTTACACATATCAGTCTATTTGAACAAGAGTGCTCAGTGAGCATCTGCAGGGTAACAGCTCTGCTGATTAGCTTAAAATACTCACCAGACAAATCAAACTTGTTCACAAAAGTCCCCAAGTTTACAGGTGTTCTCACACCAGTCACAGACACATCCTGCCCTAACCCTGTCCGCACCCCTCGCAGGACAGGGCCACTCACACTTACTGAGCAAGTCTTTCCTTTTCATTTTCCTGATGGCAGCCGGCATCGTCAGCAGCTCCACTGCAAACGCCTTCTCAGCTGTTTGCAGCAGCGCATCGAGCTCCTTCTTCATCTCCTGGACGTGCTCCTTGGCTTCAAAACAAAACAGGCTTTTATTGCCATGCACGTTACATGTTTCCAAGTATAAGCGCTGGAAGATCCCATTATACGAGAAAGTTAAAACAACGTTTTATCGGGAGAAATCCGACTTGGGAGTCGAAGCGCCTGCTACCAGCCACTCCGGGGGACGAGGACCGCGTTCCCGGCCCGGGGGCTCTTCCTGCCAGGAGCCGCTGCTCCCTCCACCCATCCCGGCAGGGAAGTGCCGGCGGGCGGGCACCTCCGCTTCGCCCCGGGCAGCTCCTCCGCCCCCGGCCATACCCTGCTGGTCGAAGTCGCTGAGGAAGAGCGCGATGCGCTGATCCTTCTTCTCCTGGGACAGCCCGAGGCGCTGGTCCCGCTCCTGGGATAGCGCCCCGCGGTCCGGCTCCACGCCCGAGTCCGAGCTCTGCCGCTTGCCCGGGGGCTTCCTCAGGGGCATGGCGACCATCCCGCCGGGAACCGAGCCCGGGACCGCGGGGAGAGCGGGGGATCCTCCCTCCCTCCGCCCCCGCCCGCGGGCCGGGCGGACACACCTCGGGGAGGGGATGGGGCGGACACACCTTCAGGGAGGGGGTGGGACGGCCCGGACCGGGGGACGAGGGGGATCTGCGGGTACCTCGTGTCGGTGGTCCCCCAGGGATGGACAGAGAGGCACAAAGCCTGTCCTGACCTATCCTATCCTATCCTATCCTATCCTATCCTATCCTATCCTATCCTATCCTATCCTATCCTATATCCTATCCTAATCCTATCCTAATCCTATCCTATCCTATCCTATGCTGTAGTGATAGGACAAGGAATAATGGGTACAAGTCGAAAGAGGGGAAATTTAGGTTAGATATTAAAAAAGAAATTTTTCACTGTAAAGGTGGTTAGACACTGGCATAGGTTGGCCAGGGAGGTTGTGGATGCCCCACCCCTGACACTGCTCAAGGCCAAGTCGAATAAGGCCTTGAGCAACCTGGTCTAGTGGAAGATGTCCCTGAACATGGCAGGCAGTTGGGACTAGATAGTCTTTAAGGACCCTTCCAACCCCTTAACATTCTATGACCCTCGTGCCCTGACAGGAGCTGGGCAGGCTCACACACACACACGGCTTGGTCCTGGTGGAACAAATGAACTGTGCTGTTTTGTTAGTTGTTTAAAGCAGCCACTGCAAATCTGAGCACACGAGGAGGGAGTGCTTCCATCCCTGATGAGAAGTGACCAAGGCCAGAGGGTGTCCAGGGCCTGGGGCAGGCAGTGGATGTGCTGCCAGGGCTTGGACCAGGTACTGGGAAACCTTTCTGCTCGACAGGAAAACCTTTCTGCCCTATTTTAGAGCCGAGGTTTGGGTTTAGATACTTCACTGCTGCTTAGTGTGCAGGATATGCAAAGCTTCAAAGCTAGCAAAGTGAATAACCTGTTCTACCTCATGCAAATGGTCACAGGTTCTGTAAATGCTAATCACATGAACACAGGATTTAATGACCATGTAATAAAGTGGAACATTAGAAAGGCATGACTACACCTAATATTTGAATATTCAAATCCAAATCCTTAAAAGTAGAATCCCTTGAAGAAACCTATTATCTTACATGCATCCAAATAAAAAATCATGCCAGAGGTATGAGCATCTTCGGTTTTGTACAAGTTTGACCAAGGAACTGTATAAAAAGGAATTTAGACAATATTTTAAAACACTAGTGGTTTTCCCAGCGTATATAGTTGATGCTGCAAGCTCTCTGTAGTAGTTTTTTCTGTATCATATGCATCTGGCACAGCATCCTTATCTCCTGAGCCAGATGGGACAGCTTATGTCACTGAAAAAAAAGTTGTAAAAAATCTGACTGATAACTCATAAGCATTTTATATCAGATCATGTTCTTGTTTGTAAAACAAACAATGTACCTCTTTCCTGCCCAAAAAAAAAAAAAAAAAGGGAGATAAATGTTTCTGTTCCAGAAAACACTCAAAGACTAGATACAAAGAAAAGAATAGCCTGCTTTGGGGGCATTTTTAGCAGTGCTGGCATATGCATATATATTTAGGGAAGCAGGACTAACTTTCCTTTCCCTAAACTTCCTTTTCTTTGGAATTATCAAGCACCACTAAAGTAATTCTAGAGGTGTCACTGCAAAAAGACAAGATTGTGTTGCTCTGTAAATTTAATCTCATATAAACCATGTAAGAATTTTTTTTTTTAAAGGGAACAACCAACAATACCAAACAAACCCCAAAGCTTTCATGACACAGTTGATCAGCCTCAACTGACTGGTTGATCCTCTCTATAAAGAAAGAAGTCTGGCTTGCCTAACTCCTGCCTAATTCCTTACATTATATGATTACTATGAGCATAAATTTGCCCAAGACCATCTCTATTTACAGTTCTGAAATGGTAGGAAATAGTTTTGTGGTAACCATTGGAAAATTTCAAGTCCATAAATTGAAGTGATGCAGAGATTAATGATCTGGTACATGGATACTAAATACTAGTAAATACTGGTTTGGACATGGAGTTAATGTGTCATAGTGCAATCCAGCTGGTATTGCTTCAGTGACATAGGAAACAGAGAACTATTACCTTTTTTTAACGTGTTTTATTATTTGGAAGTCTCGTACATCTGAAATACTGTTATAAGGAGCACCTGTAGGAAGATCAAACCTAGAAGCATGCATTTGAAAGTAATGATTGTCTGTCATTAATTAGAGATTTCAAAGACATGGAAAATAAAGCCTCCTTTCTTAGCTTTACAGGATTGTTCCACAAAAATGGACATTAATCTCATCATAATACATATAAATATTGTGGATGGACAGTAGAAATCACCACTCTTCCACATGAGACGCATCAAGAAAAAATTGTTATCCCTTATAATGTCACAGACATAAAAGGCACCGTAATAGAATGTTTAGAAAAAAATCAGTTTATGTAATTATATTTTGATTTAAAAGTGTAAGAATTGCTGTCTCGACAAAACAAAAAGCTGTTCACACCTGTAAACTATCTTAAATAATGTATAAATATCTGTAAATTAGAAACTTGTAAACATTTACATTTTTTTCCAGAAGTATCAGGTGCAAATGCAAGGCAAATATAAAATCCACTGACTTAATAGATTACAAATACTACCCCATGAAAAAGCTGTAGTTACAAAAATATAAAAAAAATCCTAACTCCCATCGTTAGATCCTATTTTCAGTCTACACTGCTTTACAAGTCCAAAGCCAGATCTCATTTGGCCACATTCCTAGAATGGGAAAGTGCTGTTTGTCTTATTTTTACATCAATATCCTGATCTCTTGCTACGGTTTTGCTTTCTAGATTTGTTTCATCAGTGCACATTAAGGATGCCAACAGATAAAAGGTTGTATTTGTCAATGGATAGTAGCAACATAAATATTCTCAGTCTGCTGTCCTCCCACAGGTGCATTTCTCCAAGGATAAGTGGATGATTTTTCTCCAGGCCCCCACAATCACTCTCTGTATCAGTGTGCCATTTCCACCCATGAACCTGGGACCACTGGCAGGTGATTGACAGGGACTAAATTCTTCTCACAGACTTCAGTAAGGAACTGTGAGAAGTACACCCACTGCTAACACTGTGTCATACTGGTAGCTGCTCTTGCAAGGACAGTTATTGGCAGTATCTCGTCTTCCACACATAATAAATTGGCACAGGTTTATCCATATGGTGATTCTGTAGCCCTCGGCTTTAGTAACTTGGACCAGCAGAGGATGTTGAACCAGCTACAGAGGCAGCCTAACAAAGTGCTAATAGACAAGAAAATGAGTTTACTTCTAAATGATAACTTAAAATTAATGACTGGATTAAATGTTATTCTTTATTCTTAATGAATAAACTCTGTAAATGCTGAGGCAAAGCCTGACATGCTAATGCTTTCACATCTGAATACTGGAAGGTCTGTTCCTTCAGCCTTTATCAGAGCTAGCAGGAGGTGTCCAGCTTCCAGCTCTAGAGAAACAGAAGCTGTCCTTTGTTTTGCAGGGAAACTGGCATAGATTAGTGGAGTCATACAGCTGTACTCCTAGATATCAACCTTGCTGAGCCAGGCTTTAATAAGCACTCAGGGTCATTCAGCCAGTGGCATGACTGTGGAAGACTTAAGTGTCAGCTGTACTATCATTCTCTTTATGCTTGGTGCAAGACATTTTCCTTTAAAGACCTTTTTCTTCATTAGAATTCCCCCCCAGCATTTCCCCTGGTAACAACATGTGTTAGCCTTTGCCAGTTCAAGCTGGATTTTGGCCACACCGCGGGTCTCCGTCATGTGGTTCCAAACAAATGTTCTCCATAGACAGAGCGGTTCTGGAAGTGTGTTATGTTTCAGCCCACCTGAAAGGACTGACTGTGCTCTCATCTGCTTTGAAACAGTACCTTACTATGTTCCATGTGTATAAAAGAAGTGAGTTAACAGGAGGCTCGTGGAGTTGTTATGAGAGGAAATGTTCAGCGCTCTTGTGCTGGGATTTTGTGCTGAACAGCACATGAAGAAGATGATTATATTCCTCATTATGTTTCAGTTTCATAAAAACAGGGTTCAAGCAGGCATCGTATTCACTCCTCTGGTCAAAACTGTATATTCCATTCTGATTATGCTGTGATGGCAGGATTTCTTTCTAGCAGAATTTCAGAGGTATCTGCACACATGTGCCAAAGATTATTTTAAATAAGCACGATGTATCTACATCCTTAATCAGATTTGAAGACTTCACACTTAACAACAATAAAAATTAAACCAAACAATACCTATAATGTAGGGGCTTGAATTTTTGTTTAGTAGAATTTTAGGATGGGAAACATATCCCTAGCTAAACAATTTATCTTGGTATTTCCGTTTAGTAAAAAACCTCCACATAACAGTAATAATTTTAATGAGCAATTCCCTTTCCCAATCTATTGAGTCAAAAGTCCACAATGTAACTTCCAATCAAGGCACAAATACATTTATTAAGTCTTTCTTCTCACCACTTTCTTCACATTCTTCCCCTTCCCCTTAAAAAAATGTCTTCTATACGAGACATTAACTTTTAATAGTCCAATAAGTTGTAGCAGTATCTGAGACTGGTTCTATCTGTTTTGAATTTAGTTAAATTAGATGAACAGCACATTCTCAGCACATCTTTGTTCATTGCCTTCATTTGCTTCGAAAGGGAGGGGATGAGGGGTAAAAAGCCACAGTAGTTTCATGTTTTTCAAGAAATTTTATGTAGAAGTCTTTCACTTTCTCCAGTAGGATCTTCAGTTTCTCTACTGGAGGAAGAATGGTCATTCTGAAAAATATTTAAAGAAAGAAAAAAAACAATCCACATTATCTGCAGAACAAACTAAACTGTGATCTTTGCCCAGACCTTGATTAATCTCAGGGCACATCAAGTAACATGTTAAGGTTAATACTTGTTTTGATGTGATTCTCTTATTTCATGCATTTATACTTTAATTGAACTATACTATTAAACTAGAGCAATTTGTTTCAATTGGTTAGTTCATAGGAATTAAAGAATTGTTATTTTCTATTGAGTGGTAAGAAGGTCATCAGCAAGAAACAACAGCAACTTGGTTTCCATAGTTGGGCAGTTATGCCAAATTATACCCAGCTTTTCAAGCTTTAGGAGTGGGCAGTTATCAGTAAATGCACATTCCTTCTTTAACTGAAAACTGAATTCAGATGCATTAAAACAATGCAACATCCCACTCTGCAGTTTTTAGTCTCTTTTTTCCTTCTCCTGCATGATATGAAAATCCCAGATTGTGTGCAAGACCTACAGAACAGAGTGTTTTTCCCACACTGGTGCAGGAATGGACTCACTGGCTTTTCCTGGAGCTGTATGTACCCAGATATCTCACCCAGCTGGCTGTGTTGCAGAACTACCAAGGCTAAAGATACCTTCTGTTATATTGTTTCAGACTGAAGACTAAATTCCATGATAAATTCCAGCTATCAGTGGCTTGGCTGGAGCAAAGTCCTGCTTATTGGAAGCAAAAGCAACTGAGTTTATGTTCACAGTTTTGGTATCGCATTATTTAGCTCAACATCTTGTTTTGGCAAAGTGAAAAGTTATTCAGTGTTTTTAAGGAGCAGTTCTATAGGGAAAATACTGCACTTCTAATGCAGTTTCTCCATATGGAAACACTGTTTAATCCCCCCTCCTCCCAAAGAATGCAGGGCAATTTTTGTAATTCTATAGTCAATTTTAAGATTAAAGTCTAAGCTATTATTATTGTTTGTATTCCTGGAGAAGGCATTTCAAATACCAGTGTATAAAAATAGAATAAAATTATGTCACCAAGCTATGAAAACACCACAAAAACCTGAATAGCTCATCTAGCAGATGAGGTCTTTGGCCTAGATCAGATCACAGAAACTGTCCTGTTTAAAGTGAGACAATGTACACTGAAATAAAAATCCTTGTATTTAATCAGAAGAGAAAGTATTTGGATGGTACTTTGCTTATTACTGTTAATTTGATTTCAAACAAACAGAAACTGTACCTGAAATGGTGGGTTCCTTCTCTTTGGCCAAATCCACTTCCAGGTACAACACATATTCCAGTCTCTTCCAGAAGTTTCATGCAATACAACATACTAGGTGCCACTTCATGAGCCTAAGGAAATGGATGCTTTGGAATTATTGAAGTGAAAATATTCCCAAATATATAGAATTTCATTATTCTTTTTTTTTCCCCTGAAACCTTATCTTACCTTATTAGTTCCTTATTCTATTTACTAAGGAAGGTGAGGAACAGTTGCTAATGAGACAGTTCACAAGTTCACACTGTGAATTAAATAACAGTACTTCATGGAGGAACAGGGCTGAAGAACCCACACAAAACACTCACTTCAAAAGAAAGGGTTTAGGTAATGTTGTTATTCTTCTTGACTTGCTTATAACTTTTTGTCAAAAGTCTCAAAATTGTACTTAGAAAAACCTAAGGCACTGACATTTGATAAGATTAAATTAATTTGAGAACTGTGTGTTCCAGTTCTGTTGGCAGTTACTATTTTTCCCTCCTGAATTATCTGCTGATTAGGAAGTCCCCAGGAAAGTCCTTAAATACATGCAAGTTATAAATCTAATCAAATAAGCAACTGAAAAACAGCCCTATTTTTGTTCTCAGCTGTGCTGATAAAATTCCCTTTAAAAAATTAGTATTACATATCAGGTATCAAAGCTCTAGTTAGGAATAGAAAGATTTGTTATTTAGTAATAGACGTTACTAACCCAAATGCAAAAAGGTAAAATTTGTAAGGAAACCTCCCTCCCTCTTTCCCAGACTTGCTGAGTGGGGCTTCTTTTGCAGGCTCGGTAGCACACTGCCATTCCCAATCCACTGCCTCCCTAACCCAGGCAGGGGCAGCAATCTGGAATTGCACAGGTCCAGCTACTTGTATGACTTAAACACCAATGTCCTTGGGAACACTCTCACCCTGAAAGCCTCACCTTTGTGATGAAATGCTCTGCTTTGTTTTCCTCTCTTAAAATAAAGGTCATGTTATATTTAAGATCATACATAGTCTATGAAGTACTGCTTTTGTAACTACCCGAGCTTACTTTGTCTCTGGAATAAAAACATCATTAGAAGTGGCAGGCACAGGCCAGTGAAGGTTAAAATTAATTGAGGTAAAAGTAACTGACTGACCTTTGCTTCCTCAATGGCTTTGGAAGGAATAAAGATCTGTGGGACAGCATACATAGCTCCTTGAAGAGGATTGCAGTGAATGCCTAGTATCTTGTTAAACATGTCTTTTGTTAGTTTGGCTTTCTTGGCAAGACTGTTCAAAACAGACTCCTTCTCCTGTTTAAAAGGAAGGTCTTCAGTTAGACACATTTGAAGTGGTAATAAAAACTCCAGAGGAAACTATGATGCTTCCCTGGATTAAACACTTTTAGGGCTTTGTTATTAGAGCAAACAATGTTCCAAATTCAAGTTCTGCTCTTAAAGGCAGCAATGCAAAAAGGCATTAGCAGGATACAACTATAAAGTGTTGCAGACAGACAATAACATGTAGAAGTCTCTATCTGTGTGCCTTCTTACATTCTTCCTTCTGAGCATCCACTCTTGGCTGTTTTTAGAGACCACATTGGCTGAATTTTTGATCTGACTCGATAATGTAGTTTCCTAAGCCAGACTCAGTTTTCTTTTTACCAGTGAGAAACTATGTGTATACTTTAACACAGATTACCACATTGCTCAGTGTGCAGAGCCACTGGATACCTAAGAACATGGCTGATTTTATAACTGTATTTGAACTTATATTCCTCTTTAGATCTTAGTAAGAGCAGATCTTATTTAGTAATCCTTTTGTCATATTAATCACAGGAGAAAAGTTGATTTTACTGGCAAGAAAATTGATTTGATAATGGCTCCTTAATATTTTTAAATGTAGTCATATTGAATTAATTTTAAATACACTGCATAGTTCTGTAAATTTGTGTTATTACAGCATTGTCTGAGGAGAAATGAAAGAGGACTTGTCTCTGTGAATATTTTGAGTTCCCAATACTTAGGATAGGTTCAGGAAATGCACAAAAGAACAAGCATGTTATTGCTGACCTTTATGAACTGTGCATAAGATTCTTCTCCAGGTATTGGAGGATTCACTACAATATCCATTGCTGCTTGTCCTGAGACTTGGGGATAAAGGCAAACAGAAAGCAGCTTAACAAGCTGTCCTTTAATTTTTGGGTGCAAGTAAATGTCCTCCATTTAATGTCCTCTGTAGCCACATCTGTGACAAAGTGAAGGGAAAAGATTGGTCAACCTTGAGTGTATAAATACTGGGAAAGCAATGAAAGTGACTGCAGAATAGGAAAGACAATTAATGAGAATCTTACAATATGTAACATGCAGGTTGTTGAAACAGCTCTTACATTGATAATGGTTTAAGATGGAACTACATGGGATGTCACTAAGTCCTAGTATCCCATACAGAGACAAAGGTGTACATGCAGCTTCCCTGTCAGGTGAGTTAACATGGATTGTTTAATCTTCAGAACAGGAGCACATGGCTGCAGTAGCATATATTTCATCAGAAAATTCTTTTTCTTCCATCTCTTCCTCCCCAAAACAACCAAACCCAAACATTTACAGCATTAGATATCCCAGCAATTATTGAGCTGTTCATCTGAATGTTGGAGACCAATATTCCATTATCACAGGTCCAGACTGCAACTGTAGGATTTCACCTCTGTGGAACTGAGGCATTAGGTGTCTGAAATAAATGTGCTTATTATTTAGTACTATGAAAACCACAGAGTTTATCCATTATCCTATGCTTTAAATGCTTTTTTTCCTTTTCTTGATAGTTTTTAGTTAAAATTCATAGAAGACGGTGGATTACTTTCAGGTCAGTAACATGAAAGGGCTGTTCAACCAGATTAATGAGGAAGATGAAATAAAAAAAACTAAATCAGACTTACCTGCCCATGACTCCCTTAGAGGTGGAGTGAAAAGAGGCCAGCTCAACATTGTTTTAGTACTCAGGTCCCACCTCATACAGAATCTTTTTGAAAGAATGGAACTGGCATCTTTCAGAGTACACATTGTCCTGGTAAACCTGAACAGTCAGAAGACATTAATGTGCTCTGTTCTCCAAACTAAGGATAAAACATGGCTTTTTAGAGAGCCAGATCTGAACTGAAGAAACAGTGGTAACACTCAAAACTTAAGAGCTGTTAGAAGACACAAGGTTCTTTGTTAAGTAACAGTTACTGTCATGATATACTTTATATCCTGTGACCATAGTTAAAGGTTCAGCCTTTGGAAGAACAGTGAGCTTCTTTGTACACAATTTAACCTTTACTTGCACATTTAAATTGATTTTCCTTCTGTTTCTTTCATTTGAAGTGGTCTCAGCTTCACATAGGTTTTTAGGTCAGTTCCAACAAAGTTCTTCCTTGTGTTCCCTACAGTTTCTCTCTAGTTCAAATCCAGATCAAGCCACCTGTTATATTGATCCTTTGATACTAAGAATCTTGAATGTTTGTTCATGTCTTAATATAACAGAGAATCTGTTCCCTGTACCACACATGGAACAAAATTACACTTCATATGAGTACTCTCAGCTGTGCTTTTGAGAGAACAGAATATTCCGTTACCTCATCAGCCAGAAGAACAAGTTTCTCTTCACAGGCAAAGTGTATCACATCTTCAGTGCACTTTCTGTTTTGCACCTGTCCTATAGTTTGATTTTTAAAGCAAGAAGAAAGTTAGTGGAGCATATATATCTAGATATATATCTTTTCACCCAGACCTAGTAAGACTTCCAGCTTTTCAACAAGATACCCCTCTTTCTCAGAAAAGTGCTATTGAACTTAAGAATTCAGTTCACCAAGTATGAAATTAGGGAGCATTTTTGGAGGAATGATGGTTCAAGGTAACTTAGTCCATCTCAAGCAAAGGAAATGTGATATAAAGTAATCAATCAATGACTTATTAAGAGTACTCTGTGTATAACTTATAATTTTAAATGCTCACATGCATGATAGGTCAATGGGATCTAGTTTCTCACTGATCAACCTCAACTACTCAAAAACCTAAATTCTGAGGGAGGCAGTGGTTGCCATGGAGTTCAGAGAGTATTCACAGTCATTGCCTCTGAGAAGCAAAAGGCTACAGGCCATGCCAGAAGCAAGATCTTTCATAAAGACCAAAGGTGACTGAAAGTCATTCCACAAGTCTGCAGAAGTTCAGTGGAAGCAGTGGCTTCAAATGGGATCCAGTGAAGTGAACCTGCTCCCCACTCTCTGGAGTCCCACAAAACTGAAAAAATATTTCTGAAAATATGACATACTGTCCTACTTAGAGCATTGACTCTAAAATTCAGCTTTACATATTTGATGTGTATTTAGGATTTGCCTGCAATGTCAAATGAATGAAAAAGAAAAAAAAAATTGGTCTTAAAATCAATCCATTAAACAAAATTCCCAGACCCGTGGGATTTCTGGGGTTGATGATGCAGAGGACTTTTGGGTTGCAATACACCTTGGCTTCATTCAAGGCACAGCAAAGTTCATTCACATCTAGATCCCAGCAATTTTCTTCATCCAAATGGCAGTTCACCTGGATAGCAACTAGTTCAGATATGGCTGCTGAATATAAGGGATATTGTGGTATAGGAATCATCACTCCTGTTCAGGATTTTCCACCTCCTGAGATCAGGATCTTTAATATTGCCTTGGGAAAAAAAGTCACACACCAGAATTAATAGTATACTCTGGAATAAGTTACTGATCTTCCTTCCTAAAAAAGTCCAGAGTTAAGTTGGATTTCTATTCCAGAAGCATACAGTCATCTTCTCATATGAAAGGGTACTTATTTATTTCAAGTTGTTACTGACTGAGGATAGTCTAACTCAGCTTAATGGAATTCCTCTGCATGTCATGGCTTCCCGTGATCATGCCTGATTAACTGCAAAATTTAGGAAAAACATTCTGAGCACAACGCTAGAGGGAAAGGTGGAAACAGGAATATCAAGATCATGATTTTTCTGCTGTGCCCAGTTATAAGCAAAGAAGCCTCAGCTAGTTCTTGCTTGTTGCCTTCCATTCACTTTATCTCACTAACCCCAAGAGACCAATAAATAAAACCAGAAATTAGAATTGGGGCCTGTGCAGATTCTCCTTTGGAACAGTGACCTGTTTTAGATTAGGAGCAATTGTGGCCAGCTGGGAACAAAACTGCATTATGTTTCCATTTTCAAGACCAAAAGTCTGCACGTCTTGGAATGGAAAGATTTACCTGTGTGTGTCTGTGTGTAGGCTTTTTACATGTGAATTAAATAAAAGAGTGCATTTGGTACAGGCAGTAGAGAGACTTCTTGCTTTTATAACCAAGGGAGAACTCTGATGTACACGTGCAATCAAAGCAAGCATCCTTATCAGCATTTAACTAACAGTGCCCACACTGCCCAACCTGCTCCGGTGCTGCTCCCCTCTCCTCCGCTGCCCCTCGGTACAGGGCTCGTCCCTCGGCACCTTCCTCGAGCAAAGCTCCATCTTCAGGCACATTCAGGTGCTCCCCCAGTGTCGTTCCTTGAGAGATGCCCTGGGACCACCCCCTCGGCCTCTCCCCGCGAAAGGTGCACCGGGGTGACTGCCGAGAGCTGCCCCAGCAGGGCCCGCCCCTCCTCACCCTCACGGCCACACCCGGGGCTGCCCTGGCCCCTCCTCACTCTCACGGGCCACACGCGAAGCGGTGCAGACGCGCTAAAGGGGCAGAGCCACGCGCGGGGATCCGCCAGGAAAGGCATCCCTTTCCCATTTCCCGCCCCGCTCCTCCCCTGGCTCACCGCCCACTGCCCCCCGGGCTCCAGGGCCGGCGCCCGAAAGCAGAGTGGCAGCCGGGCCGCAGTTCCGCGCTTTGCGCTCCCTCAGGGGAGGCAGCCCCGCCGTGCCGGAGCGGCGGGTCCGCACCAGCCGTGCCGAGGGCCGGTCACCGGGGGGCGGCAGAGGCCGCCCAAACACGGCACTGCCCCCCGCGAACTGCGCATGCGCGACTCTCAGCGCAGTCCCGGAGACGCTCGGGAGCCACTGCGCACGCGCTCTCTGCCCCCCGCCGTGCCCGGAGCCCCCGCCGGGACTGAGCGATCCCGTCCGAGCGTTTCCCGGCCAACTCCGTCACCTTCGCTGACAGCGTCGTGTCGTCCTGAACACAGAGGGTAACTGCGCTGCAGGAGCAAGCGTGTTGCACCTGCTCTGTGTCACAGAACGCGACAGGGACGCCATTAACCAGCTGTGATTCCGCTCCAAGCTTCTTCATGTATTTTTGCTTTTTGCACTCCACGCCGACATCCCATTCAAGTACCTGATTGTAAACGTTGCCACTCCAAGGAAACCACTATGAAATCTGTCAATAAATTAAGTTCCCGTTTAAGCCCTTTACAACAGAACTACTGCGGTTGCCCCAGCTTTTGGAAAACTTTTATGTTAAAAATTTAAAACATCTAAAGAAGTCTAAAAAAAATACACAAGTGCACAACAACTTTAAAGGAAAGAAGAAAGTCAAATGAAGGAATTTAGTATCTACTTCATTCCATTTATACAAATAAAGAACTGTGATTCTTAAATATATAAAACATGAAAACAGAAGTGAACTATTATCAATAAAGACATCTTTGAAAATTCACCTTTTAACAGAAAGTACTTAAATTATAGTACTTTAAAACAATGCTGTGAGCAGCACAGCTCAGTTGTATATTTGCAATCTGACAATTATCTTGCCTTTTTTTGTTTTTGAGGTGTAAGAAACTCAGGAAAAAAATACTCCTTCCATTAACGGAAAAATAGTAGACAGAAAGACACTTAAAGTCATCAGCCAAGGATTTTCCAATTACTATACGCTGAGCAGTAGAGAAACAGTCAAACATCTACCCTGCCCCACCCCCCCCCATCTCTCAAAAATAATGTTTCAGTGCTTTGGATTAAATGATAACCAACTGAATTGATTTTGTCGTCTTGGCAACACTAAATCCAATGTCAGATCTCTTTGTTCTTTTTCGGAATCCACCAGCTGATAGCCAAGCATGTTTATAGCACCTTTGCAAACTTCCTGTACTTTCTTAACTTTCTGAAAGGGAAGAACGTTTCTCCAGGCCTGTGAAACACTAACTGCATCTCGAGACGTGATTTTGAACGCTTCTTTTTTTTTTCCTGGTCCCTGTCCATGTGTGATGTTATAGATCCAGCTTTTGAGCCTGGGGGTCAAATTAAGATCTGCAAATTTGTACATTTCTGAGATTTCTGATAATGGATCTCTTACCAGATCTTCAAAACGGATCATTAAATAGCGATTTTTAAGGAAATTAGGTGGTTTTAGAGTAGCCGTTTCATAAATCTGAACATGACTTCTACAAACCTCTTGCATTACTTTGTATTTGCTGTCTTCCACTTTAGTGCCATTGGTACTCAAGACAATTCCATTGTCACGGGCTAAAGCTTTCACTGATTGTTCCCGTGACTTAACGACTGCCCTGGGGTCACGGACCAGGTGAATAATTTTGAGATTCAGGGATGGGTCAGTGAGAAGAGGGTAGAGGACCTTCAAGTCAAAGAATCGAACTTCCTTGATGACAACATGGCTGTAAGTTTTACAGGCTTCCTCCACCTTGCTGAACGGATACCGTCCACAAAGAGTCTTGCAGGCCATTTCGCTGGTAATGTCAGTGCGTTGAAAAGAGTCACAAGCAGGAGCTGAGCACAGAGCCCGACTCGCTGCCCACTGGAAAAGATCGGATAAGTTTCTTTTCCAAGGCATGTAAGCATCAAACACAGACATGTCACACAGGAAGACCGACCTGACTAAGTCCCGCACTGCCATGTGTAAGACTTTGGCACTGTTCTGAGACATCGTAACCCACACGTGCCACGCGGGCTCCATCAGGTAGAAGACGCTGGGGTGCTGGCTGAAAAGCTGCCCGACAAAAGAGGATCCCGACCGCCAGGAGGAGAGAATGAGGATGTGGACTTGTGATGGTTTCTCCCCCGCCTGAGGCATGAAACTACTGTACCGGGCAAACATGAAGAGTAAGAATCCAGTCTGAACTGTAACAAAAAGTATAACGACTGTGCTAGGAATCCGAATCCTTGCCATTCTCACCGAGGAAGAGCAATAAGAAAAGCTGAAAAAGACAAGGGAAATGCTGGTGAACCATCGCTCCTGTGGCACAATAACAATAAAACTTACACGGTACAAACTCTTGCATTAGTAAAACCTTCCTTCAAATAGGCACTAACTGCTTCCTTAACCAGTTGCACTTGGAGATATTCATCTGCAGGTGACAGCTGTTAGAAACTGAAAGGAAGTAATGTGTGACAGCAAGATCACTGCACAAATAAGCAAATAAGTAAATGTTTGATGTTGAAGAAAACCTGGGGTTGATGCAGGTCAATTCTTGGATTTAAAAAAAAAAAAATCTACAAAGTACACAAAGCCCTCAACTTGAATACTGGTAAATACTGCCGAGGGATAAAAAAAAAAAATCCTTCTGAATGACTCCACTGAACTCCAAAAGTTCAGTTTGACACTACAAGGACTTCTATCCCCTAAAAGGAGTAGATGGGAACATCAGTAACTGGCTGCTGAAATAAAAATCATCTTCTTTTCTAATGTGAGTGCTGTACCCTGCAGTGGCAGTAGGCTGCTACACCAGTTGATGCTTGTGCACAACCCTCTGTTTTTCAAACTGCAGAAGATGGGTGAAAACTCACAACCTGAAGCCACATCTGGCCACATAGGATAAAACGAAAAAGCAGCTGACATGTGTCTTTGGTCTGGAGCGCATATACCCCAAGACTGAATACCCCAAGTTTGCACTTAAGGGAATTACCCATTTGGGAGTTAGAAATGACCAGACATATAGAAATGACATATAACTCCTAGAAAATTTTAGACATGTCAACCCCAAGTGGAACTGTTTTACTTTGAAGTCAAAGTTCAAGCCACATGCATTCCTCACAGCTTTTAATGAGAGGTTTTTGGCACCTGCCCCTTTGTGCCCTCAGTTGTGCAGATTCCACTTGTAGGCAATCAGTATAAGTTAGCAGGCAAGGTATTAGGAAAGTATGAGTCCTCATGTACGCAGATCATCTCCATATTTGTTATCTAGCTGTATTTACACAATTTGTTTCTTGTTACAGTGAGAGAGACATACCAACACACTCTGGACTCTTGAAACCATGCAGACTAGCAAATAAATATACACACTCATTTGACATAATAAAATGCATTAAGTTCTTAGTTCTGATCTGCCCACAAGAATTCTTCAAGACAATACAGTTGAATACAGTAAGGAGTGAAGATCAAGCACAAGGACAGTCAATGACTTCTGTAAAAGGAATACTGAAGTGACTGTTGCTCCTCAGCCTAGAAAAGAGGCTCCCTAGACAGGGAAATCACAACTGGCCTGGAAAGAACAACTGCAAAAACACACTCTCATGACTGCTCAAAACAGAAAAATTGGGGGAATTGAATTAATGATCTCTCATTACAAAACCTTTTTGTATGCTGCATCTTAAAAATATGAAACTCCGCCTCAAAATGCTGTGGCAGCAGAAGTATAAAAGAGTTCAACAAACTATTACACTGATGAAAAGTAAGTAATGGAAGAAGAACCTCTCAGGACTCACCAGAGGGTGCTGTTAGGCCAGCTCTTTCAGCACAGAAAGGCAATATGCCAAAACTGCATTGGTTACTAGGTGAAACACTAGTCTGTGACTTGCTCTGCATTGCCTCACCTCTCCTTCTGCCAGTGCCCTCCTCCTTTGCCAAAAGCTCAGCGGCACCACCTGTCCATCCCAAGCTCCTCTCAGGAGAGCCAAAGAGGGGCTCGTTCTGCCTCCTTTCTTCCTTCTTTGCTCCACAGTGGTGCTTCCTTGGCTGCACCTGCCTGACCAGAGCAGGCCTGCTGACCACAGGCACGGGGGAAAGGGCAGCAGAGGGGCCAGACGTCCTTACTGCCACTCCAGCTGCCACCTCAGTGACAAAACTCTAGCAGGCACCTCCTCATAGACTCACGCAATCATTCTGTCCCTAAGTGGCAAGGGAGCTACAACAGGCAGAAAAACAGACTGTGACAGACAGCAATTTGCAGCACAGAGCACTCCAACACCTCTCACGCATGAAGTATTGCAATACTTGGTGGCACCACAATACATGCTTTTGTAAATAATGAATACTGCTAAGCATAAATTATTTTAATAAAAGTTACACTATTATTCCTTTTCTGTGATAGTCGCAGTAATATTTCTTTTGTGATACTGTTTCTTCAGGGAGACTTCTGGCAAACAGCAGAATAATCAGAGGTCTAACCATCACAAATTCTTGAGGCACAATCATCTCTTCGCAGGCCAATACAAATGTTCAAAATGTGATCTGAAAAGCATCTGCATATATGGCTTAGTTGACAGTTCTAAGTCAAGCTCTGTCACTGGGCTTGCCTGCTAACAGCTACTAATGGAAACAAGATCCTGGACTAGATGAACCCTGGGACAGTCCCAGAATAACTATTCTTCCATAACATCCAAAGGAAATTATACAAACTGGCCAAAAGAGCAATCATTTTCTTCATGACTTAAACTGCCTCTGATAGACTGCTGAGCTGCAGGGCCACTAGCATCTGCCACTGCTTGCCAAGAAACTAGATACAACACAGAAAGCTATCCAGTTTTACCAAGCAGGGTAAAAATACAGCCAGTGGTAGCAGGGCTTGTTTTCTAAAGAGAGCGCTTTTCAGACCCAGAATGGCAGAAAAGAGAGAAAGAAACTGTGTGATGGATGATTATTTAGGTCTTGCTTTCGGGAACTTTTATTCATTTGTCCTGTAAGTCATGTAATGTTGGAATTGAGTAATGAGATCTTTGCAGGTCATCTCTGAAAGGAGTACAGTTTCTAAGTAACTTCCTTTCGGCACAGAATTCAACCTGGAGAGACCTAGTAAATTATCAACAATAAGATTTATAGCTTAAAAAAAAAAAAAGACCCTCCTATTTACACTGCTCATTTTTTTTTTCTGGGATACTAAAAAGATGGTAGAAAGACAGAAAGAGAGTGCCTCACATTAGAGCTGTAAAGAAACATGCTCTCTCTTTGAGCTTGGGACAAAAGGCTGGGATGAAAGACTCCCTCAGAACCAACAAGCCTAGGTCTGCTTTGGGAAGACTGAAAACCCTGGCTGGAATAAAGCAAAATATCTGAGTGAGGAATTATAAATACCTGCTCTCCTACAATGGCTTCTGAGCAACTGAATTTTAACTGTCTTTGTCAGTCTTCCTTGGCCATTTTGAGTCTAAGAAAAGGTCCAGCACACTTTAATTTAAAACAGTTTATGCAGCACTTTTAAACCAAAGTCTTTATAGATTACACAGAAATTACTTCAATTTCATATAATGTTCTCAATTAATTTCCCAGATTGGTCTTTTCCACTGAAAAATTAATACCTTTTGGTAGCCAACAATGATTGTCCTGTATGCTTGTCATACACTACATGCTGACTTTTCAGAGCAATCATACAAGATGAATATAAGTATCACCTATGTACTTACGATTCACCAGATGCAGCAGTACTGACTGTAAAAAGAATGATAATGGTAAATGTCATCATGCATTTTGTAGAAATAACAGGAAAATATTTGTGCATGGCATTATAAACAGAGCAAAGATCACTTGAAGTTCTACTGTCCCTCATGGAGAAGTTTACTCACTGCATACTTCACCTATAAGACATCACACCAATGCAATCACCACCAGAATTGCTTCTATGGGCTCATTATTAGGAACACGCTTTGCTGCTCTAAAAAGTGAAATGCAGGAACGTGACAAAGCTGGTCAAAGAAAAATGCACAACAATATTACTAGTAATTCTTGTTGTAATCACCCAGCTGACAAAATATCCATTTCTAGTGTTCTCCTGCAGCTAGAAATCACACACCTTCATAAGGCAAAAGGTTACTGTATTGCCAACAATATGCAGATTGATCTTTGAATGGGGAAAGAAAAAGTTCGTTTGGAGGGTGCCTTCTGTAACTACTGGTACTTCAAAAAGTTAAAAATCTTTCTAATAGCTGGCCAATACTAAATAATTGAAATTCAAAAGCCTGCTTAATTTTTTTAATAGAACAGTGAAACTGCAACTAAAACAATAAAAGTACAGTAAATGTACTGTAATAATTCTGAATCATAACAATATATTAGAATTCCAGCTGATACTGTTAATTTACGTTTTGGAAATTTACTTCTTTTCACAATCTAGGGGCAAATGAGGTTGGAACAAATGTTTGTAGGAAATCATCAGGCTGAAATAGTTTATAATTCAATTAAACGTACCATGGATTTAATTACATGACCATTAAAGTTCTTTTTTTCAAAAGGTTCTGTTTCCTTTGGGTTTTATTTATAATTTTTGGAGTTAGATAAAGTTGTCCAGCCTGAACAAAAAGCAGTGTTGAGGCATAGCCCTACACCACCTGTTTCTCCATGCAACGCAGCTGAAGATCACAAAGCGTTTTCAGCTGCTAGAATTACTGGTGTTCAAGAAATGAGGTCTGCTTAGCTGCAATTTTTGTTAAGAATTTTTACTATGGCAAAACTGGATTGACAAAGAGACACCTACAGTGACTGAATGCTATTCACTTACTTGAGACTCTGTCTGCAGCAGCACAATAATGTCCTCAAATTCAAACCGTCCTAGGACGAATGGGCTGAGGTGTGCCCTGTGTGCCCCACTGAAGCAACTGTTGCGACTAATAAATAAAGACAAATTCTTCCGACCGGTGTGTGACCTTCATCTGGAAAGAGAGGCTGGACACAACAGAAAAACTGAAAGGGATTTCCCGGAACGACGGGAAATGTTCTCTAACGCACCTTATTTCACGACCTGACTCTAGCAAACGAAACCACTTAACCACCTCAGCCATGTTCTCTAGGGGAGAGGAAAGAAGAAGAAAAAAAACCTAACCAAAAAAAGGTCTAATTTTCGACAGCTTGACCTCTGTCAACAACCGACTACACCTCAACCAACGGCCGGCTCAGACGGTGCGACACCGGCTCCGCCGCACCTGGTGCTCCCTCCCGCTACTTCACCGCCACGGGCAGGGGCGGGGGCGGACGGCTCAAAAACATCCCCCGAAACGTAGTGCGAGTGCGAACAGCTCGAATACATCCCCCGAAACGTAATGAGAGTGCGAACGGCTCGAATACATCCCCTGAAGCGTAGTGCGACTGACTGTAAGCACCGCTGACACCGGAAAAAACGGTCTGACCGCGACGACGAGTCCTGCGAACAGCCGCCACCCCCACCCGCACCAGCCCGCCCGTACCTTCCCGCCGCCACCGCCGCGGCTCCGAGCTGCCGACAGAGACAATGAGCCGCTTTCAGACGTGGCCGAGGCGCCGGGGCAGCGGGAGGAGCCCGGGAAGGAGCCGATCCGCCCCGCTCCCGGAGCATCCCCGGGCAGAGGCGCAGCCTGGCAGAGGCGGCCCCGCCCAGCACCGGCTGCCCGAGGGCTCGAGCGGCACCGGCGCCCGCCCCGAGCGCGGCACCCGCGGGGACGGCTCGGGCAGCGCCGCGGTGCCTCGGGCCCGCCTGCCGCGGCAGCCCCCTCCTCTTCCTCCCTCTCGTCCTTTTCCTCCCCCTCCTCCTCCTGCCCCCAAGCCCGCCCCAGCCCCAGGCGCGCAGGGCTCGGCGCGGCCGCGTCCCGCTCGCCTCAGGCGAGCAGAACCGGAGGGTCCTGACCCTGCAAACGGCCGGTTAACGAGAACCGGGATCGTTTCTTTTATCCCAGCTCCACGCCTTAAAAGACTCCTGAAGCATGGCTCTTAAACAGCCACATTCCCACTTCAGTTTATGCATAGGACCTTTAACCAGATGCTTACTTTTTCTTCTTACAGAATCACTTACAGAACTTTGATTAATCCTAGCAAGCCACTGTGTCCTTCCTCAGTGAAGAGCATTTAGGTTGTTCTCTGCCATATGTGTACACATAAGATCTGTGTAGTAGCACTGTGGCAGATAGCACCGGTTTCAGATATTTTTTGTCATTTTATTTTGGGTCGCTGAGAAAGCTAAAGGAAGAGTCCTCGCAGACAGCCTTCTGAGAAAGGCTCTTCCTTCCTCAACCTCCCTTAATGGTACTTGCAGCAGATCCTCAGGTATATTTTTTCCCTGTAGTTCAGTTTATTGCTACAGCTGAAAAATCTTATCTTTTTTCTATTGCTTGGTTACTTACAGAAGTAGAATGTCTCTTCAAGCTTGAGAAAGGAGTCAGAACTATGAACCAAGAACTATTTTCAGTATAACAGTGATCCAGGAAGTTACCACAGCAGAGGTATCACAAACAAGTTTTTTTCCCCTGCTGTGGTCACACTTGCCTTTAGGGCTCCTTTCACCCTGCATTCACTTACTAGCTGCAGTCATGAAACACACCTCTTTCAAAAGAAATGGAGGGATTGTTTCAGGTCATACTAAACAGTTACTTGCCACTGGCAAGCAAATAACTCTTTTTGATTTCGTCCTTTTAACTTATATAGTTCTCCACTTAAATTACTGTAGAGGATTTTTTTCCAGTTTTCTCTTTCTAAAGGAAAAGAGAACATAACAATACTTTAATCTGTCTTTCCTAAACCAGACCTATTCTCCATTTTTTATTTCACATGCATTCACTGAACTGTTGCTCTGAGCAGCATCACTTGTCATAACTTAATGTGAAAGGCTACAATAGGAGATAACAGTGAGACAGGAATTACTGAAGTCTCCCAATACTGTTGTTTGCTGGCACTAGTCTCTTCCATGTTCCTGTTGTTACCTTGAACAGCTTTCTGTTCAGCCTGGAGGAAGACTGTTACACATTCCAGTTTTGTCAGAGTACAACATTCAAACCCTTAAAATGAGGTCCTGTGGCCTCTCCAGAGATTTCTACCCCCTGCTTATGCCCACTCAAATGCTTGTGCAGGCACATAACAAGTTCATTCAGGGAACTGAGTCATCTGAAAAAGTGATTATATTTGGTAAATATCATCTTCATTATGTGATATACAAATAATTGTGATTCGTGAAACAAATGGGTGATTATATCAAAATAAAACAAACGGATTGTAAAACTTAATTACACCCCCATAAAGAAATAAAACAGACCCTTACAAGGTCAAGAGGCCTAAAACGGTCAAGAGGCCTTACTATCCCAAGAATAAAATAGAGTAGAACTTCAAATCTTTAGGCGCCTGTTCGTCCAAGAATGCATGAATTATGACTGGTTGTAGAGATAACCCTTTTAGCTTTAGCTGTAAGAAAACCCATATATTAAATACTTAGCAAAAACCTGTAGAATGTATATGTATATGATATAATTAATATGCATGAAGTAGCTAAGATAAATACTAAATGTACCCTGTAGTAGGTGTGTGCAGATTTGGGAAACTGGTCCCATTTCTGTCACCCAGCCGGCTGCTTGCTTTTACCATATAATAAACTATTATTTAAAACTTATAGAAACTCGAGACTTTGTTTATCACAATCAGGTGATTATATTTTTTATCAGTTCTAAGCTATTTAAGTTCTGAAAGTAATCATTCACTTGCTTTGGAACTCTAAAGCTTCTCTGGTAGTATTTTTTGTTACTTTTCTTTCAATAAATACCAGGCTTCTCTGTTTCACTATTCACAATTCACAGTTAATGGTCTAGTGCTACAGTAATAATGCCAATAGTAAATGGTTGTGCAAACCTTGCACACGCTATCACCCACAACCCAGTTTCTCACATCAACCTTGAATTTATCCATCATCCAATTTAATAACTAAATTGCTGAGCATGTATAGCCACATAACTGTGGCTGTACTGTGACAGGAGTGTCTCTGACCTTAACTCATCCATACATTTTTCCACAGTCCTCATATTTTGTTTCATTTCATAGTGTACATAAATGCATGTACAAACAGCTCTGGACAGAACTCTAAGTCAGAAGTGAATTAATTCACAAGACAGTAAAAACAGTTTATATTGTTACTTTTAGCATATTATTTTCAGTCTTCGAGGTGTAGCAAAATTAAGATAATGCAAAAGCAGACTCATTGCTTCCTACTGGCTTTTAAAGCGTGGTCCAGTTGCAAAAAAAAAATAACTAAGCTCTTCTTTAATTCTTAATTGTCAAAAAAATTAAAATTTTCAGTTCCAAAGCAGTGTTCCCAGAAAAATTAGATGAATGAACATGTATTTAAAAAGGAAGCACAAACAGAGCATACTTGAAACATACTTACAAAATTCTCATCTTCCAAAGTAAAAAGTGAATAGAGAATAAAAGCAGGTGACTACTTTTGAACTGCATTTCGTTAAAGTGTTCTCAGGCATCTCCTCAGGACTGGTGCTGTTTGTAGGATAGTACTGGAGACACTGGCAGAACTGATGATACTGGAATTGTGGTCAACACCTGATTCTGGAACAAAAACATCTTAATCCTACCAAACACCCAAAGAAAGATAAGGAGGATGCTGACATACTGGATCCAGGCAAATTTAATAATTTCCCAGAATCCTGGCTGATATTTAAAGAAAGTCAAGGAGTGTTAATGAAGAAGCTTCTGATTGCAATAAGCAAACAAAGGAACTCAGAGGCAGAAAGGCACAAAATCTGTTAGGATATCAGCTTTTGTAGCAAATGCAAAGCCTCTGAGCCACAGAAACACCTAAAAGCCTTTTACCACAGTAGGTAACAAAAGCTGCAGAGAATATCTGTCCTAGAAAACATTTAAACCAATTCTGGGTAAAGTACCTATTTTGTGCCTGACTCACCAGAAAGTTGTTATTCGTAATAGTCAGGCAGGTAAACAAACCTCATTAAGAAGTATGCTCCATACAGATTCTCTTAAACACAGGCTGGTTCTTGTCTGAGAAAATGAGCAAAAACACAATTAACAAAGTATTATTTTGCAAAAAAAAAAAAAAATCAAGTCTGCTTGCATGTGTAACAGATGTAACTCCTCCACTGTGGGGGTTATTATTATCTTGCATGCATATTTCTAATGATGTGCTTTAGGTCACAGACTACAGTACCATGCTTTGCTAGTGGTATCCATGACAGACTGGGACAGCAGGTGCTGCATGAGCAAAGCAAGAGTCACTAAGAATATTCACTGAAAATGGCTAAGAAACTGTCTTAAAGGCCTGTTTAGTAAAGCTGAAAAGCAACATAAGTTCCCAGTAGAGAAAGGCAGAAAGTGGTTAGGCAAGTAGAACCATCTGGAGGAATGGACAAATAGGTATTTCATTAACTCCAGAACTTCAGCATTTGCTTAGCTAACAAAGAAAAAGTTTAGAAACAAATCCAGAAGAAAACAGTTTTCACTTGGCCTGTATATGAAGGCCTAAATAACGCAACTCAATTATGTCACAGTTTATGCAGTTTTCAAAGGATATAAAATAACTTCCACTGGATAATGAATAGTGGCATTAATGATAAATGGTGTATCTGTTGCTCTTCCTGTCATCCAAACAGGGCTGGGATCTGAAAAGACTGTTGTCACTAAAATGGGGAAAGGAAACATCCAGGTTAAGGGGCTTTTAGGTCTTAATACAGGACCCAAATACCTCACAAAACATCTGCCAATATGTGAACTACTACTGTCTTGTAGTTCACAGCTGCACATTCAGGCTTACCATTTCTATCCCAATATGCTGCAATGATGTTTGTTAGATCATAGTCACTTGCAAAAGGACTTGTGCCATTGACCACAGACACCTGTTACAACAAGGAGACACTTGCATTATTTGTCCAGTCTTCGAGACAATAATTCTACTGAGTTTCTTACACAAAATAACCATGCCCTTGAGGGAATGCACATAAACATCAGACTGAACATCCTGGCACAATAACCTCTTCCCTCTTTTAGCCTAACAATAAAACACCAGTTCCAAAGTTTTAGGGTTCACTCTGTGCAGGACTACAAATAACCAGGGTGTCACCTATGATACCAGGAGGATAAAAGGGGAGGGGAATTGATGGGGAAGGGAAAAACATTTCCTCACATTGTATCTGGTATCCAGTCCACAATGGTTAAGTAATTGCCTCTGGTTCAGTTTCAGGTCTCCATTCATATAGAGCCGAGACCCTGGCACAGGAGAAAAAAACTGAAGAAAAGCCATGCTCTGCATCACAAATGTTGACATTCTCTGAAATAGCGAACACAAGAGAAGAGAATTTAGGCGGGGACACCCCCCCACACACACACTCTTGCTTCAAGAGTTGTTAAGGAAGCAAAATATATGGAGTTTTAGGCTGTTGCAACAGCCTGCCTCTCCACCTCAGAAAACTAACTGGTTATGTCAAGGCACAGTAGTATGTAAGAATGCACATCCTTCTCCCTACTGCAGGACTATCAGTTATTTCCTGGTGCCACCCACACTGATACTCACTGTTGTGCATTTCTGTCTTTTATGCTGCACTACAACACAAGAGAATATAGATCTTAAAAAAATTTAAAAAAAAAATTTCTAACAAAGTGTATCAAAATACGCAAGCTACAGCTAGACTAGGAATGACTCAGCAGAGGAGAAAATTAAATATTTGTTAGTAAAATAAATATTTCAGATAGAAATTTCAAATGTGAAAAGTTTCTTTTCATCCTTTGTATAACCACTACTGGAATATTACACTGGGTCTATACATCACAACAAACATAACTAAAAATGCTCACATAAAGCTGGTAGGAAAAGAGTAGAATCAGCTGAATGCCAAATACATGCTCTGTGGGTTGGAGTGGAAGTTCCAATTCAAAATGCAACTGATCCATTTTGCCATCTTGATTTTTGTCTTCTTCTCTAGTCTAAAATAATATGATTTTTTAAAAATACAGGAATTTCTGTTAGAAAGAAAAACAGAAAAGGTAAAACCCCAGGGGACCTCCACAACTGCAGTATGCACAATCAAAGGAAGCAAATAAGCTGCAGTGTTACAAAAGAAATAAAAAGCTTCTTGACTTGATAGACCAAGAACTAGAGACAAGGAAGAAGCCTGCAATGTTGTCTGTTATACAACATCTCATATGCCCCCCCAGGAAGGGAAAGCTCACTAGACTCTTCAAAGTCTTTTCTGCCCTACACCATTCTGACCACCTCCCCTGCATCCTACAAAGCATGCCTTAGTGCTGGATCTTCTGTCAGATCCTGTGCAAATATGACAGGTGGTCAGGCTTTTGCCTCCTGCCACTGCAGCATGCCTCTTAATGGCCTTTCTACTCCAATTCCTGGCTGTGAGCCAAGGCTTGCTACACCTCTGTGCCACAAACGCCCAGTACCTCAGCTATTTGCAAGCATAGCAGGACTCGTAACAGAGGCAGACAGAAAAATAACTGCCATTGTGGAATCCCAGAAGGAACAATGACTGCAAGGCAAAGGCTATGTGCTTTAGGAAGCTCATATATGCTTCCAAAACTAGGGCCTACCTAGCGACCCATGCAAGTTCACATCATGATAAGCCATGTGGCCAGGGGAGGAGAGCACAACTGATTTGAGGGAAGTAAACTGATTTGAGGGAAGTAAACTGCATATAAGTGTTCATGCAAACCACCAGTGGTGCTTAGGGACATGGTTCAGAAACCGGTAGTTTGGTTAATGGTTGGACTAGATAGTAAGGGTCTTTTCCAATCTAAGTAATTCTATGATTCAGTAGCACTGAAGAGGCAGTTAAACTGGACTCGTTAAAAATCACTTCTCCCAACTGGATTCTGATGTGAGGCACGAGGTTATGCGTGAAGCTGCTGTTCCTTGAAGGTAGCAGTGCCCACTCACGCCCCGAGCCGGCTGCCCCACTCTGCAGCCCCGCTTCTCGCCGCTGCTGCCGGGCCCCGGGCAGGCCTACCGCCAGGAGCGGGACTCGGAGCCGGTCCTCCTGCAGCCTGTTGAACGCTGGGAACGTGCTCCACGCCAAGAAGCTGCCCGGGCTGGGCCCGATGGTGGCGACGAGGAGAACCTCGTACCGGAACCGCACAGTGGGCTGCTCCAGGTACGTGCTCTGCTTCAGCCAGAAACCTGAGGGCAGAGACAGCACGAGATTTCAGGGCCGAGCCGGGCCCGGCCGAGCCGCGTGGGGTCGAGTGGCGCTCACCGTGGCTCCGGTAGGCCACCAGCAGCGGCGGCACATAGGTGAGCGCGGTGATGAGCAACAGCGCCAGTGCCGCAGCGGAGCAGAGCCCGGCCCGGTAGCGCGTGTAGAGCGCTGGGTGCGAGAACAGCTCCACGCCAGCCATGGCGAGCGCTCCGCCCGGGCCGCGCTCCCGCCGCGCACCAGCGCGGACTGACGGGAGCCGCGCCAATCAGCGCCGAGGGGCCGGGCGAGCCAGCCAATGAGCGCACAGCGCCGCCCCTGGGGCCGCGGGCCGCGTGAGGCGGGACAGCGCCGGCGGCGGGAGGGGCCGCGCGGTCGGGGCACTGCCGGGGCACTGCCGGGGCACTGCCGGGCCGGCCGAGCCCGTGGCGCGGTCCCGAGCGCCCCGGCAGCGCCGTGTGCGGGGCTGACGGCGGCCTCACCACCGGCCGGTGGCTCCGCGCCGGATGCCACAGCCCCGCCCCGCGATCCCCGGCCGGAAGCGCGGCGGGCCGGGCGGTTGCCGGGGAACGGGCGAGCCGGAAGTCCCGCCTGCCGAGCCGCGGCTGTTGTTGTTGTGACAGGGACCGTGACAGCGACAGGCCCGGCACGAGCCCCCGCCCCCCGCACACGGGCCTCGCCGCCGGCTCCGCTTCCCGCCCGCCCGCACCATGAAGTGGATGTTCAAGGAGGACCACGCGCTGGGTAAGGGTGGGCCCGGGCCGGGCGCTGCCCGCCAGCGGCCCCGCCGCCCTCCGTCTGCTGTGTCGCCATCTGCCCCGGTCGGCTCCCCCAGCCGCTCGTCTGTGGGCGGGCAGTCGCTTGCGGCCCTCGCCGAAGGGTGGTGCGATGCCCGGGGACGGCCTCGCCGAAAAGCTGGAGATCCCCTCGGAGGGTGGGGAGGTGGCTGCTATCCTCGCAGGCTCTCGGCCCTGCGGGCGCTGCCCTCTCGGCCTGTGACGCCGGCAGTAGTATTACTGTGCAGTGACTAATTATGAGTTTTGTTCACAGAGCACAGATGTGTCGAGTCGGCAAAAATCCGAGCCAAATACCCCGACCGTGTCCCGGTGAGTAACCGAGCCAGCTTCCTCAGAGTACTTAGAGGCAAAGGCAGATAAGCTGTTTCCATCCTTCACACTCTTTGATCAGTTCCTACTAAGTAAATTCATGTTCCTTCTCGTATCCTTAGGTGTTTTAAAGAAGCCCCAAACACATCTAACTAATCCAATGTTCCCTTTCCTGTCCCAGTGTATATTGACAAATAAGCAAGAGTGCCTAACTTTATAAACACTTTCTGGGAATTTTAATAATTTATAAGGGTCCTGATTTCTTCTAATGGCAATTATATCCCAGCAAACATCTTCATTATCTTGAGGATTCATTCTGTGCCTGATCCTAAGAAAGATTATGAATTCTTTAAACCTTGACAATCCTCCATCCTGGATATATGAGTTAGATGATATTCCCTCTTGTATTCCATGCCTATAACCAATCATCATGGTGAATCTCCTCATGCAAACACTGTTTGTAGAGCCAGTACAAGTGGTGAGCCCTCCTTTCTGCATTAATAGCTACCATTCTGCTAAATAGTGAATGACCTCTCTTCTTCACTCCACACTCCCTTTTATCATGTTTCAGTCTGTGAAATGACCACGCTTCACATCCTTACATAACAGCTAGCAACATGTCCACATTCTCAACTTACTTGCTCGTGTGTAAAATGTCCCACATCCCATCTCACCATGGGCCAGTTAGTGCTACTCCTGCCTCACCTCTTGGTGAGTAACTTCTTCAGTAGCACAGCCCAGAGGAGAATCTATTCCTGTTGCCTTTCTCTGCTGCTCAGTTGCACCTAATTGTCACAACATTGTCTCCAGTTGCAGTCTGGCAAGCTGATATGATCCTTCCCATCCTCTCCTGCCTAACTGTCCCCTCATGTATGGACTGCAGCATCCTTAATGACCATACATCTCCACAGATATCCATTCATCTGCTTCAAGAATATCCTTCTTAACCATAGGGGGAAAAGAAACGTAGAGACTCTCAGTGAGAGACAGAATTACATGCTGCTGTATCAGGAATGGACAACAAGGTGTATGTAGATACAGGAATTAAATCTCAAATTGCAGTGTAGTGCTTTGTTTGGACAGGTCCATGTTTTCTGCTTGATGATTCAGATTGAGCCATGTACCTTTCATAAAATAGTTGGTACCAGTTTAATAGTTAAAAGTGTTTTTCGAACAATGTTTTAAGGGGAGCACAGAGCTAAAGAATGGAGACACTGGAACCTCTTGTAAAACTGATTTCCCCACCTGCTGCATTTTTCCTTCAAGAACTAGCCTGTATGGAGCAGTAAGCATCAGGTCTTTATCACAAGTAATGCTTAATTCTCCTTTCCCCTGTGTCTGCTGCTTTTTGTTTCATTTTGTTTGTGGCCATCTTGCTCTTTCCTTCCTGTAGTCTATTCCTGATTTCCTAAGGTATGATGAAAGATGTTCTAATGTCAGTTCAGCATAATTCAAAGGTGGCCTCACCAGTACCAGTACAGGATCACCTCTTAGTACTTTGCCTAATGCAGCGCAGGATGCCATTAGCCTTATTTGCTGCCAGGGCACACTGCTGGCTTATTTTCAGCTTTGGGTCCACATTGCAATGGTTTCGTGTCGTCAGTGTACAAAGTTAAATGACACATGTAATTCCCTGTCATGGGTTTCTTTTGGGCATAATGCAGCTTTTTACCTCATGACTGTCAGCCTCAGATACAGGAAGTTTTGAGCCATTGTGTGTATGAATGTAGGTTTCAGTGTAGCCGTAAAATCAGGTTTTACGGTACTGAGCCAGTTCTACCTCTCATTTGGTTGCAGCCAAGAAACCTTTTTGTTCCTCCCCTCTGCTCGCTGTTGCCAGCCTGTGCCGGCAAGAGATTTACCCAAGCTGTCTGTTCATACCAATCCTGACCTTCACACTTGCACTTTACAGGTCATAGTGGAGAAGGTCTCAGGATCTCAGATTGTTGATATTGACAAGAGGAAGTACTTAGTTCCATCTGACATCACCGTGGCCCAGTTCATGTGGATCATCAGGAAGAGGATTCAACTGCCATCTGAGAAAGCAATATTCCTCTTTGTAGACAAGACTGTCCCACAGTCCAGGTGAGAGGCTATTCACGTAGTATTCAGAACCATTTCAGCAAACCTGTGCATATCAGAGGGTCAGTAACACCATTCTTTGAGGCTCATTTGGTGGTTTTAGGTGGTGTTTGGTTACATCTTCATATCATTGTGAAAGGGTTTTTCCTTATGAGTTTGATAAACATCTTATTTTTTGAGCCAGGCTTAAAGGAAAGGTGACTGAAAACTATATTATAATTTACTTCCATGGCAAAAGGGTGAGCTTTGCAGTTATGATATCCTTGGCTGAGTGCAAGAACACATACATCATCAATCTCAAAAAAATTATTCTTCTCGATGTAACAAAAAAGGTGCACATTAAATATTTAATAGCAAATGTCATAAATTATTCTAAAAAACCAATAACTTGTCAGCTTACAAAGAAATTATGATGTTACAGACTAACTGCTGTTACTTTTTTAAAAAGTTAATTATTTTCATCTATAAACAAAAAAATGCACAATTGCTACAGAAAGCAATTTTCCACATTGCTTTTGTATAGGAGTAAGTTTCACTGTTGTCTGCCACATACAGAATATAGCAGAAGCAGCTACTACAGCTGCTTTCTACAGGAGATTTTTTAACAACATTTGAAGAAATAGTAAGTCATGTTGTTACATAGTTTAGATGTAATAATATTCTTATTACTTACTTGTTGTAACAGTAACAGTCCCTCCAGGTAACCTGTCCAGACTCAGGAACATTTTTTATTTACTCTGTGATACACAGTAAGGAGAACCATGACAACCATCTTTTTCTACTTGTTTTGTTTTAAGAGTAATAGGAATGCCTGTATGTCATCTTCATAACAGGACTGTAGAACTGCTGGGAACAGGACAGACAGACACATTGTCTCACATCACACGTTCACTATGAGGTGTCACATCTCAACTGGAAAAAAAGGGCCTTGAACCTTCAATATCAATGTAAAAATGATAACTTTTTAACAGATCAAATATCCTGTTAATGGCTCTGCTCATCTCATAGGCTGAGTTTATTACATAAACTGGATGAGGAGAGGAGGATGTCAAGGGTTAGTGATCTATCTGCTACTCACCAGTTCTCTTCCATTTCAAGCACTGCCTCCAAATCCTCCCAGCTCCTCTCTTGGGTAGAACGACGTGGTCGTTTTCCCTGTCGCTCCCATCCGCTCTCCACCTTTCAGTTCATGAGCCTTTTCTCAGTCTTGGGAAGCTGGAGAAAGGTGAGCTGAGGAGGAACCATTTGTGCACCTGACTGATGTCAACTGCCTGTTCCATCTGTAGGTAAATGGTTGCAGCAGCTGTACTGGCCAAGTAATTGCTTGGGTTTCTTTTTGGTTTCAAAATACAGACATTGCCCTAAAGACCACAACTGCTAGGACTGTGAAGGGCCACATGCGTATTAAGTTTAAGAAATTTTTTATTTGATCAAACGTTCAAAACCTCAGCCACTGAAAAAGCATTAGTTTCCAACTAAATTGTAATTTACTGCCCACATATATTGGTACCAGCACTATTTGAAGTCATCACTTTTTGACAATATAGAAAACAAAGCTTTTGCCCCCCAAAACAACCTGGACCTCAAAGAAACAGTCCAAAAAAGAGACTGGCTGAACATTCAGAACTATACCAGGTGGAGGGAGGAATGAGGCTGCTCACACAAGAAGCAAGACATTAATGCAGCTGCATTCAAGTACCGTCAGGCCATTAATTCTGGTATTAGTCACGGCATCTAATGCACGATTCAGAACCTGAAATACATTCAGTGATTTATTTCCAATAAAATAAGGAAGCGTTCTGACAAACGTGTTTGTGAAGAATTATCAAAAATTTACTATGCAGAGAGCCCAGGCTCATTTTGCTAACTCAAGAGTCAACTGCTTTTCATATATCCTCATTTTTGCATTTTAATTTATATACAGATTTATAAGTTTTAGCTTTTATTACTCCTTGTTTATGCAAGGTTCTAACTGTTAATATTTGCAACTGTCATGAGCCAAGCAAACCCTTTCTCTTTTTTTCCCCTTGAAGCTTAACTATGGGACAACTTTATGAGAAGGAAAAGGATGAGGATGGATTCTTATATGTTGCCTACAGTGGAGAGAACACATTTGGTTTCTGAATGGTGGGTCTTGGATACTATACCATCCTGCTGTGTATCTTGTAAATAGCTGATCATTTTCTGTTCGGATGTCCACAGAAGTTCCTTCTATATACATGCATTTGTAACTGGATTTATTTCTTAATATATTGATAGATCTTGTTTTATTAGACTGTTAAATTATAAAAAAAAAAGTTTTGTTGGTTTTGTGCATTTTTGGTTTTTTCTCATGGCTATGAATTCCCAGAGCCTCACTTCTTTGGAGGATACATTTGATGACATTGATAAAATAATAAAGCAAAGTAGTTGGGCTACTAAAACATGAAGAGAAGAACACACATTTATTCTGTTTTGAGGTGTTAGTTTAAGAAAAATAAAACCAATAAATTAGTATTGGGAACACTGGATTTGCTAGCTTCTCCTAAGCAGGACCAAGATGCTGATCGTGTTGAATTGAGCCAGTATGTTCCTCTTTCTCAATTAACAAACAAGTACAATAAAAATTCCTGTCACAAACAGGCAGTGCTGTCATTTCTTTACCTTAATTTTGTCCAGAAAGTTGCACATCCCATTTACTAGATCCTATACAGCTTCCTATATTACTTACTAGACGCTGAACAGCTTCTCAGACTTTAGTGTGGCTGATGATGCAAGGAAGAAACAAGGAGCTCTTTGTAGGTTCCAAAACCAAGAACTTCAGATCTACTTCATCTCATCAGGAAAAGCTATGCTGGCCCACAGGCTATCAGTGGATGAGTAAATACCATGGACTTTGGAGAACAGGACCCAGGTGTCAAAAGCACAGCATGTAAGGGAAGGGCACCTAGGTGAAGGAATTATACAAATAGGAGACCTAGAGATCTGAAGAAGTGGAAGGTATAATTCTTACATGAGTTATTGCAGAGCATGAAATAATTGCAAAGGAGTTCAGATTAAAACAGCTGCATGAGTAGCTCTTAAAAAAAAACAAAACAAAAACAAAACAAACACCCCCTCACCCTAAAAAGTAGTTGCATTACAGGTAATTATACACATCCTTTCCAATCAAAACTCAGTAGATATTGTAACGATGTTACAGAACCCAGTATGTGAAAGAACAGCTTCCCTGTACAGCTGAGTGGTTCGGGTGACACGCCAGAGGGAGGGGACACCATTCAGAGGGACCTGGAGAAGCTCAAGAAATGGGCCCATGTGAACCTCATGAAGTCCAACAAGTGCAAGGTGCTGCATCTGGGCCAGGGCAACCCCCAGGATCAGTACAGGCAGGGACTGAAGGGAATGAGCAACCCTGAGAAGGACTTTGGGGTACTGGAGGATGAAAAACTGGACATGAGCTGGCAGAGTACACTCACAGGTCAGAAAACCAATTGCATCCTGGGCTGCATTGAAAAAAGCATGGCCAGCAGGGTAAGGGAGGGGATTCTGTCCCTCTCCTCTGCTCTGGTAAGACTGAAGCACAGCTCGGGGCTCCTCAGCACAGGAAAGACATGGTCCTATTGGAGCAGGTCCAGAGCAGGTCACAAAAACTACCGAGGGCTGGAACAACTCTCCTATGAAGACAGGCTGAGAGAGCTGAGGTTGCCCAGAGAAGGCTCTGGAGAGAACTTATTGCAGCTTTTCAGTACTTAAAAGAGGGCCTTTAAGAAAGATGGGGCAGACATTTTAATGGTTTTAAACTATGAGGGTAGACTGACAAGATTTAAGGAAGAATTTTTTTTTTTCTTTTGAGGATGATAAAAAAATTGAACAGAGTGCCCAGGGACGTCCTGAATGCACCCTCCCTGGAAACATTCAAGGTCAGATTGAACAAGGCTCTGAGCACCCTATTCTAGTGGAAGGTGTCCCTGCTTACTGCAGGGGGGTTGGACCTTTAGAGGTCCCTAACTATCCAAACCAAACCACTCTATGATTCTACTTCATTGAGACAGACAGCTAGAATTAGAAATGCTGCATGCACAATATTCAAGATCGGTTCCTCCAGTTTATTGAGCGCTGTTGCCAAAGCACGTACCCAGTACAGCAAAAGTGAAGAGGCTTAGTCAGAAACCAAAATCTTCTCTTCAAAGTTACACAGCTACTTCTACTTACAGGCAAAAAAGCAAACCTGTGGATCACCCAGGAGAGGAGGGTGGAAAAACCACCTCATTGAACCAATTGCACAGTACTGAAGTTCATGCCTTGATATTAAAGGATACCACTGGCATGGAAAAGTAGCATCACGCTGACCTTCCTAAGCCAGCAAGGAAACACTAAATACAGTTTACATTCCTAACAGAAGTTTTACTTCATTTTCACACTACGTGGTGCATAAAAATTTAATTTTTTAAAATGTTTCCAGTTACAGTGGGAATTTATCACTTTCCAAGATTAAATTCATACTAACTCAAAGTTCCATGAAGACATATTATGCCTAGAATTATGTTTGGCTCTGCAGTCATTCACAAGTGTTGGCAGAAAGACTCCAAAATGTGAAGGTAGAAGCCTGTGAAATGTTCACACTACTCTATTATTGAGGCTTGTCACAGTAACTGTGCTCCATGTGCTGACTGCATCAGAAAATGCTCTGTTGGTCTCAGTAAGCCTTTCATTATTCACAATAGCACTGCACTGTATAGCACTGCTTTAGTAAACATTCCATCACTGCTTCTGTCCTGAATTCCTTCTACCCCCTTTCCGGGCATTAATGTTTACTCGTAACAGAATTTTTGATTCAGAATAAAGAAAAGTGATTTCATCTGTCATTTTTTTTTAATTACCTTTTATTACTGGAAAGTGTTGTTTCCTTTAAGCTGAAACTTCAGAGTTTTTCTAGTTATCAAGTAATATTTTTTCTTAGCTGTTAACACATCCCTTAAAACTGCTAGATAAAGGTAATTACAGGCTAGCAAATAGATATATCTAAAAGCAAGGAAAGATGTTATAATCAGGTGACTTTTGTATTACCCTTCATAATCCTCTTAGACCACCACATAACTGTTCTCTTTAACATCTCTGTATTTATTAGTTTAGATTAAGGAGCCCAGATATGCAAGTAATTCTAGAGAATGCAAGGATAAACATTCTACAGCAGTAACTTTACTTTTCCTCTGCAGATGCACTTCAAATGGCAATAAAACATCAAGAGGTTTCCTCTCAAAATGCACAGACGAAATTTATCCCTTTAGAAAGTACAATCACTCCTATAAAATTATTAAAAGCATTTGGGTCCCATATGATCTTCACTTGCTGTTAACTCTTTAAGACTGGGAAGGCATTTTAAATTAATACACTGAATAGAAAACAAAGAAATACCTTGTTACTACTACACAGCAACACTTCTGTATCACCTATCTTTAAATTGAAATGTCACCTCTGATATAACTAGACTAGTACTGGATGAATTTAGTATTCAGTAAATATTTAGTATTCAGATCATTTAGATGGTCTTTTCTCAAAAATTATCTTGCCTCTACCTGCAAATCATTGCTGCAACCCGCTTATGGCATTATCAGATACTATGAGAGAAAGAACTCCAACACCTTTCTTTCCTCCTTACCAACAGAATTCTCCTGCCCTCAGCAGCACAGCCTGAGCTCTTCCTTTCCTATAGTGCTTACTGGATTTATTGCAAAGCTCATTTAATTTCTAGTGAAAGGCTACACCTTGCTTTGGACTCGTGGTTTGTTTTTCTACAAATACAGTTATTTAACAGTCTTCGATTTACTCTGAATGTACTGAGATACTACACCTTCCAGCCTGTTTAAGGTGAGCAGTGGAAGCACACTGTGAAGATCAAAATCTTGCTTTTTCAAAGTTAGTGGGATGATAGCATCCTGTCTCATGGAACTGCAGCCTCCAGGTCAAACAGATTTGTTACTCCTACCCTTGGACAAAAACATGTTCTGTGTTCTGGTTTTGACTTCCTTAAAGATGAGCAGGGAGTCTGCCCTGCCTTCTTACTATGATTGAGAACAGAATGATGTCTCCAACAGTGAGGCTGTTAAAGACATCCCACTCAATGATTACAGTTTCTTTGTTCTGGCAATCAGAGACCACTGGTCCCCATACTAGTTTGGGAAAGGCAAGGACCTATCTGGGTAGTACAATGCTCTGTAGAGCATTTGACACATCCCATGGGTGCCTTGGCACCCTCCTATGCTCTGTTTCTCCCACTGTGAATTGTTTTAATGTCGTCCTTAACCATGAACTGTGGGCACTTCATTCCTGCTACTTCACTCCCCCCAACTCTGCTCCCCTGTGGCAGAGTCTGCATTCTGCTGTCCTCCCTGTGCCCTGCCTATCTCTGTTTCTCAGGGTGTCAGCTATCCTAGCACAAAGGAGTGATACAAGCTTGGAACACATAAACTGATACTTTTCAGGAGCAATTCTTCCAAAGATCTGCTGGCAATGATCAAAGTTTAGTTTGCTACCTCTTACAAAAGCAGAGACTGTGTCTTCTCCTATCTCTGCATCTTTCCCTTCTGATTTTTAGACCAGTTTCACAGTACTGCTTACAGCATTTCTTGGCATTTTGGAATTAAACAGATGCAGCATTTAAATACTTATTTTCCATCACAGAAATGCCATCCAGTTGAGTATAAGATCCTCTACAGGCTTAGCCTTTTAAATGCTGTTTTGTTTTAGCTCCTTTCCTCTCTTTGTATATTCATTGACATGCTCTAGCTTAAATATGTCCTCGACTCCACTCAAAACATGAGGTTAATATCAGTATTCAGCACCTTGAAAACTGCTTTTAAATCTGACAAGCAACAGAAAAATGGCAGCCTACAGTTCACAAGTATCTTACAAATGCACGGAAAAATCTTACCAGCAACAATCCTAACAGCCAGGCTCAAATTTTAGAAAAGAGTTATAAGAATTTAAATCATATAACTGCTCATCTGAAAACCAGTCTGATGCCAAGACTACAGAACGAGTCTTACACAACCCATTTTAATATTGCAGCTGAATAGGAAATGGGAACATTCCAGTCTGGTCAGCAGGTTCACTAAGACATTGTTGATTAACAAAGGGAGACTAGGTATGGTAAGTTAATAGTTTGTGCAAGATTTCAGGAAATGACATACGTAAACTTCAGGAACCTGGAAATTTACTGGTAGTTCTTTAGGTACACTACAGGACTGCCTTTGCAACACTATTTGCTCAACTACAGTAACTGCTACCATTTGTCTTCAGCAGTTCACCCTGTGGCCCATGTACAATGGCATCTGGCCCTTTTTTATCCTCTGATGAATCATGCAAGTCACCCAATCTCCATAATCCCTTGCCCTCTACAAATATACAATGACTCCCCCCTCACCAGTACAACTGGTCTTTCTGCATGTTAGTGCTGCATTTGAGAGGATAGGCTTATACACACAGAATTCAAGTTTTTTGTTATTTCTTCAACAAGTAAGAGAGAACTATACTTATCTGACAAGTCAATGTAATCATGAAGTAAAAGGATTTGTTGTAATCAATTCTCAGAGTGTAATGTGATATATACTGTTTGGTCCCATATCTAGCTCAGTAGGTTGACAGCAAAGGCTGTTTGGAGAACTGCTGTGCCCATTTTTCAAATCCAAAACTGTAATATACCGAAGAGCAGAAAATTCAAATCACTGAAGAATTCCTGTGTTCTAAATTATCTAAATTACTTCTTTCATCTTGCCATTGCCAAATATTTTATGATTTGTCCAAATATTTTATGATTTGTGGTTTACAAGAGAAAAAATACAAAGGGGGAGTGTGCTCAGTAGCAGTTACACAGTCCTGAACTTGCTCATAGAAGGCAATAACTGGGACAGAAAGTTTAGGGAGGGTTATCCATCCACTGCTTCCCCCACAACTGCTCACAGTGTTGACAGTTTTGCCGTGCAGATGTTAATTGGTAATAAAGCATGATGACAAGAGACTGCAAGACACATGCCAGAGACTACTTTTAGTCCCCCCAAAGCATCTCCACCTTTGCCAGGCTATTAATGAACACTTGCCAGGGAACAGTGACATAAATGGCTAAGGCATTTCTGCTTTTAATTAACCGTGTCCCACAGGGGGACAAGGGGGATGCACAGTGCTTGAAACACTGAAAAGTAGGTAAATGTTTGCCTGTAGTTCCACAGGATTGACAGGTTTGAATCACGTAATTCAGGACATTTCTTTCTTTCCTATGGAAGCAAAGCAGTTGGAGGGTTATCTGTCAAAGTCCTGAAATTAAGAGAGATGCATGGGATATCATAAAAGGTATCATTTGACACAGACTCCTCCCCAGCACTCTTTTACTTCTGCTGTGGCTGTAGCTGTGGCTATATTTAGTAAATAGCACTATATATGATTGATTCCCAGAAAAAATGACGCTTTAACCAAACTAGTATTTCCAGTTAGAAGCAATGGGGCTGGGGGACATGGAAAATTCTTCCAGGCACCAGACAAGGAGAGCCAAGAGTTATAAAAATATTACTTACTATACATTAGTGTTGTCCCAGCAACAGAAAAACAACCATAACATTATGAGGAGTGGAAGAAAAAAGCAGCGCTAAAATTTTACAGCGACGGCCTTTCTTCCACAGCACTGCTTCAATTTCAGGTGACGTTACTGTCACTGCAACAATTATGGCAGATTGATCATATCCTCATATAACAGAGGGCAGCACATCCATGCTGCCTTTCTTCTGGAGGCATATTGTTGCATGCAGCTCAGAACTTCAAGTCAGCAATGACCGTTTTCTGCATTTAAATAAAAAGGGCACTTCAACACAACGAAAATAAAGACCTCTATAAATTTCTTTCCTTTTCACTCCTGTCTCTTTACAGCACATCAACTGAGGACATCTTTTCCTGGACCTTGAACTGCAGAGGTATCTGCTGTGGAGCAGAGCTTATTGCTGGATTTACATAGCCACATGGATTCTCATATGAAGTGCAAGTATTCTTTGGCATTCTTGACCCAACCCAGCAGGGCTTGGCTACGCAGCACTTTCCAGGCTTCTTGATAATTTAATGCAGCTTCCTTGTAGTCCCAGTAGGTTTTTAGAGTCTTCATCCTGACAGAAAATGCACAAAAATGAAAACAATTCTATGATCCTATTGAATATGATGTCACAGAATGAAAAAAGTAATCAAACTTCTAAGAACATGATGATACCCTATGAGCTCTTTCATGCTACTAGGTGAAATTCTCTTCTAGAGAGACTTGGAGAGGTCCAGGCTCTGAAGCCAGACATTGTCAACAGGCTTACAAAAGGCAGCAAAACAACTCTTCTACCATGCTTCGTACACACTATCCAGCAATAGAAGTGTTTGACTGTGTGACCACAGGTTACAGAAAATTTCCATGATAGCAAAAAATGCTGAAGCAAAGCTGAAAAGCTGAAAAGGTGGCTAGAGGTGCTTTGAATTGGGTAGAAGTAGCCTTAGCTTGCTAGAAGAACAGATATGCTTGCTGGCTGGAAGGGAAAGGGACAGAACAAACAGGACAGTTCTTTTCCAACACAAAACTGATGAAGAAGAGTGAGACAAAGGAGAAAATAACTTTTTTCTTTCCCTAAAGCAAAAGAGACTCAGTGATTTTGGTGTTCTGTTCCTCTTCCTCAAGTAGTACCTATTCCCCACGGTCTCAGCAGAACTATTGGTCACTCTGCTGAGTACATTATGCCATTGATTTTCAAAAGAGAGAAATTCAGGCCTAGAGTATCTGACAACAAGTGCCTCTAAGACAATCCCATCAAGACTTTTTTTCCTTTCCTTGCATTCCTTTCTCAGCTTCTTTCATCTCCCTTTGCCAAAAAGTCTGTCAGCCACATGTGGTATGCAATGTTTTAACACATTAAACCCAATACGAAGGAAAGATGACAGGCAACATGACCTTCACCAAGAAAGAGGAAGAGCCAAACTACTACAGGAACCCTAATCTAAAAAGTCTGAGAACCACTGCACTAACTTCTAGAACAGGCTTTAATCCTCAAAGGCAATAATGATCACCCATCACCCCCAAAACTGCAGACCATCAGAAGCTGTGTTTCAGGCATTCATCATTCTGCTATAAATTTATTTCTAGAACGCTGTGACATGCATAGAAAGCCATATTATCTATCCTCCAGACCTTATGTTCTGAATCTGAGAGAGTGGTGAACCTGTCTATGCCCTTGCTGAACACAGGAGATGTCTTTTCCCCCTTAACAAACCTGCCCTGCACTCTCATCCCAGCTAATTCATTCTGCTTTACCTCTTTCACATTAATCATACTCCGTGAAACTAACTTTGAGCTCCTCTGCAAAGTTCCATGGAAGGGCCCCCTGCAACTCTCCCCCACCTGGGCAGTGGAACAGTCACAGAACCCCATAATCTGTGTAGTGGATCATAGTATAGGAGCATCACTGAACAGGTAAAAGACCAGCAACTATTTGCATAAGCAGCATTCAGGAAACAACCTGGTCCAAGAAGGATCAAAGTCAACCCTCCACAATTGGCTCCAAAACCCTGGCATAGGCAAGCTGCTTCTCTCCCAGGTAACATGTGCCTCAAACACAGTACAAACCACCTGCACCTTCACCTTCATTTCATCGATTTTTCATTTCTTCCTTGCTAAATGTTGCTCTTTTTCCCTGAATCTGCTGTCAAATTAGCAGCTCTGACTCATACCTATCAGTCTGACCCAATTTAACTAAAACACATAGGGGATTTTTCTAACCTACATTATTCCAACGGACTTTTGTTTGGAAACTCTTACAGCAGACAGTAAAAAGATAGCTAGAACAAAAGCAGGATAGACAGGAGCAGGATTCTCACCACACTGGAGCAACTACTAGAGCACATGTGACCACAGCCTCTTGGGGTCTCATTCTCCAAGCAGACATCAGTACAGTGATTTAAAAGTGCATGCAACAGAAATTAAAAAAGTATTTTAAACAGTTTCCTCAAAGAGCTGACAAAATCAACAGATTTAGTTAATTCATGCTTGATTTGTGCATTAAGCTTCTAAGAAATTTTCAACACATATACAGGAAAAATGCTTTCAAATTCTATGTACATTGTATCTGCATAAAAACCTTACGTGATTTGACTGTATCTCAGATGTAGTTAAGGCTCTGAGCATTAGTAATGAAGAACCTGTGACCTTTTTTTGGCAGAAGCAAACACTAGTTTGCTGCCCCAGGCAAAGTTAAACACAGTCACAGAATCTCCACCCTATCCAAGTCTGTCTGACGTACGTTTCTTGCATGTTTCCCTTTACTATTTCAATCTTGCCCCTACACTACTGTGCAAGAGAGAGACAGGGATTCTGATAGCTTGTGCCAGAGACATGAGAAGTGGTCCACAGACTTCATTCTGAAAGGTAACACAAAAGAGCCTTACAAAAATCACCATTATGCTTAGGAAAACATTCACATGCTCAGCTACATGCAAAGCTGAGCAGGAATGGGCTCATTAAAAAGGCAGCCTGCAAAGAAAAGCAATACACTGCAGCAATACTTCCTTCTCAGGTAACAAACCCTACCTTTAACTCCATATTCAGCTTCAAACATTTATGTTTAACCCATAATGTACTTGCAAGATTACAGACACATTGCACATGAAAAATACGTACAAGGAATCAACCAAAATATTACTCATACAAAAATTACCAATCGCTGAATGATGCTAAAAATCTTAGCTAAGCTACACTAATACAAACACCTAACCTTGCCTTCTAGGAGAGCCAGCAAAGTTCTGGCCCCAGTAGGCTCTCTACCTGTTCCAATTTAACAGTGCCCACACTCATCCTCTGGATAGAAGCAAAGAATGAAAGAGAAAGGAAGACAAAAGAAGCAGGAGAAGCAGCTTTAAATACACAAAAGAAGAAAACAAAACATCAGAATCAGTATAAAGCTTTAACTTCCCTGGTTCTTAGGCTAACAGTGGACAACAGTTAAGTTGGAAGGAAGGGTTAAGTGAAGAATGATCCTTGTCCTAATACACCCTACAACCACAAAACAAGCTATTCAGCAAATTTGAAATTATTACAGAATGAGTTTCCCCCAATGGAACAGAAAAGATGGGAGGCACAGACCAAAAAGTAGACTAGAAGAGGCAGGGCAGGAACTTCGGGTCAAAGTGCGAAAAGGAAACTGGGTGGCAGCAGCATTAGAGCCAACCATTTGTGGGAAGAGATAACAGGATACCTTTGAATGGAAAGAAAATACAAAACTGGGTAGCAGTTAAATACACAGAAGTTTAGAGGATGCAATTTGAGATTGTGGGATTTCTTATCTGAAGTTCACTCAGACTCCAAGGAAGAAAGAAAAACAAAAATATGTCAGAATATTGTGCAGAAAAGGAAAGGGAAGATGAAGGAAACAGCAACACTAAGACACTATTTTTATTTTGCTTTTTAAATGAAGAGGAAGAAAAACAAAAACTTCAAAAGTGAATCAGCTGCACAAGCTGACTGGTGAGCCAGCACCTCTACTGTATAAATAGAGTTTATGCAGCCTAAAAGCAGTGTCACATCTGTGAATCAGCTGGACTTTGTCAGGAGAAGCCCAGACAGAAAAACAGTAGAGGACAAAAAAGTCAAAGGAAATGGCAAAGCCACTGGAGTCTAGAAAAGCCCTGAGGTGAAGAGACTTTATGTAAGCAGCATATGATTAGAACAATGAGTCACCTACCCAACAATCCACCAGTTCACAACCTGTTTTGAGGAAATTATGATGGCTAAACAAGTGAGGACAAACTCCTACCCAAAAGAGGATAATAATATTATATTTTATAATAATAATAATTTCATATTTTAAACTGATTTACAAAGAAAGTGTATCTCTACTTTAGAATGAGTTGAAAGCATCTCATGCCGACATCAGAACTTTGAAATAGTTATGAGACACTTCTACAGAATCTTTAATTCAACAAAACTCAAAAGCAAGCAAGATCTACTAATTAAAGATCCAAGGTGCACTTACTTTGGCTAATTTCACTGCATCTACTGTCTTGGTAGCATGAAAGGCTGAAAGGGCCTATCTCCCCTGCTTCCAGCCACACACCTCCTACTTCCTGTTTTAACTTTCCATGAGCCAATTCAGCTCATTAGTCCAAGAGAAAACACAGAAAACAAGAAAATTGTTTTCATCCACATTAGCTAGTTGAACTGACTCACATGAGATTGGAGAAGTGCTATTGATACAAGGGAGAAAACAGGAATCTACAGCCAGTAGCAGCAGAGACTGCTGGGGGACCATCCTATCAGCAACTACAAGCAGTTAAATTAGCTCAAGAGTTCATGTAACTGCATCCTAGAGCTGGTGAAATTATACCTGGAAATAAGTCTAAAATAAAATAAACCTTCTATGGCAATGGATTTGGAACCTTCTACCTCTCTCAGAATCTCTAAGCCAGAGAGAGAAGTTTTCTGTGCATGTGAAACTATGCCTTACTTTATGGTAGCTATTGGGGCTGGAATACCAACCAATAATGCACATAATGCTAAGGCAGACTGGATGATTACTGCAAGTAATTAATTCCAGTTTGATAAACCAAACTTGTTTCCAATAATGCAAAGGCAAATTCCAAGTATGGCCTCCTCGCACAAACGCTTCCTTCTGTTCTTTCCAGAAAGTCTCCATCTATGTAACATATGCATTGCATAAAGAGCCATACACACTATCCCACCTTACTAGCTCCTACTCCACCACACACTGAGAAAAGATTTTAGCCTAGACTTAAAAAAAAAAAAAAGGTTTTACTGAAACTCTTCCTTTTTGTGAAACAAAGAAATGGCATTTGATAGAATTACTAAACACCAACTAGATATCAATAACTCCCCAATTTTTGGATGCGGGATTTGAACACCACCATGGGCAGGCAGCTGATCTAGTAGCCCATGTTTTCAATAAAAGATACTACTGCCTCATCTTGTGTCTCTTTTCACATTTTTTAAGTATCAGATTTTAACAATGAACTTATCTGAAGGGAGATTCATGAGCAGATTCTAGTATCATCACAGTATTCTTTGGTTTCATTAAGAAAAACTCACTCTTCTAAATGCAATAATAATGCCTTTACCGGAGAGTGTCTGGTAGATCCTCTTGTGAAATACTTGTCACCAGCTTTTGGAATTTATGGAAGAGCTCCACTTTACAGATCTTGGATCTAATATATATAAAAAAAAATAAATTAGAAATTCTGATAGAAAAAAGAAATCAGAAGTTTACTTTCCCGTGAAGAGCAGAGATCAATGTCTGCCCCTCCATGTCCCCTTGTGAGGAAGTTGTAATTGTGATGAGGTCTCCCCTCAGTCTCCTCCAGGCTGAACAAATCAAGTCACCTCAGCTGCTCCTCATAAGGCTTCCCCTTCAGACCATTCATTATCTTGATGGCCCCTTCTCTGGACACTAATAGCTTTATATTCTTCTTATGTTCTGGTGCCCAAAACTGCACACGATACTCAAGGTGAGGCTGCCCCAGTGCAGAGCAGAGTGGGACAATCCCCTCCCTCGCCGGGCCAGCGATGCTTTGCCTGATGTCCCCCAGGACAGGGCTGGCCCTCCTGGCTGCCAGGGCACTGCTGACTCATGTCCAACTTGCCATTGACCAGGACCCCCAGGTCCCTTTCCGCAGCACTGCTCTCCAGCCTCCATTCCCCAGCCTGTACGTACATCCAGGGTTGCCCCATCCCAGGTGCAGAAACCAGGACTTTTCTTTTTCAAACTTCGTAAGGGTTGGTGATTGCTCAGCCCTCTAATTTCTCGAGGTGTCTGCAGGGCCTCTCTTCCTTCCAGGGAGTCGACAGCTCCTCCCAGTTTAGTATCTTCAGAAGCAAACTTACTTATTGTACCTTTGAGTCCCGCGTCCAGGTCGCTTATGAAGATGTTGAAAAGCACTGACCCTAAAAGAGAGCCCTGCTGAACCCCACTGGTGACCGGGTCATGCAAAGACACTCTAAAATATAATCTTCAACTTAATCTGTCAAAGGTTCATACTGTAGTCTTTGGTGGTGTAGTTAATTAAGCATTAACAAAAGTACATACCAGATATTTACCTACAAATTCCTTTTAGTCAGTCAGCTTTACCTTCCTTGATATCTAGTGTTATCTAGCATATTGATTCCTCGAGAGAAAAAAGTGTAGAAATACTTATCACGTTTAATATTAACCAGCACCACACCCAATAAGGCTGTAAATTTCTTATTTTCATTATAAAAGTTCCTTTTGTGACTGTTTATCATGAAAGTGTAAATAGTTGTTCCTTGACATTGCTTTTAATCCTCATTTCCCAAGGAAATGAGACGTTTGTAATCACAGTTTTGTAGACTCTAATAACTTTTGAATGTTTTAGTGAATTTTGAGCACATATTGAGAGGAGGATCTCTCAACACTAAGTTCTTACACTTCTGTGCTAACTGGCAGCTAGCAGATGGCTCTCAAGTTTTCGAGCTGACACATAAATGCTACATAACAAATTTAAGCCTACTGAGAAAAAAGGGGTTGGTTGGTTTGTTTGATCTTTGACACATCTTCTGGAATACATTATACACCACATACTGAAAGCTACTATTCTACAGTGCACACAAAGCCTGTCTCAAAAGACACACTAATTCACCCAGGTCATGCATGTTAGTAACACCCCAGACACCAACACTGGTCACAAACCACAAAGTTCCCCTTCTTTACACAGAAAATTTGAAAATACTAGGATATACCAGTATGAACTTCAGTCAAGTCAGGCCTAACCTCAAGAAGCTCAGAATGTGCAACTTGCAGGCATGTGAACAAATTCTCCAAAAGAATTGTCTAGGCTCCACTTATTATGCTATTCACTACTCAGGATTATTGTCATTCTCCCAGAAAGTGTGGGAAAAATGAACGATATGACTACTGATAAATTGGTAGTAGAAGTAGCCAACAACTAATACACAAACCCTAACTTTCAAGCTGAATTTCCACAGACCACTGATGATTTTGGTCACCTCACCTAAACTGAAGATAACATCGAGATGGAGAAATTTGTCTGCAGGTGTTACAAGTAATTGTTCTCAACCACAAGAAAAATACGTAACTGGCTTTTTTAAACATTAATTGTTGATAAAAGATTATGAGATGTTTTAAAGAGCACAGTGCCAAGACCACAGTTGGAAAGGTTACATGTTTCATGTCAGGAATGTGCTGCAAGCATTTCAATACATTTTCAAACTTTAAGGCAGAAAGTCATGCTTCAAAGCAACACTTCTAACAATCATACACCCAGTTCAGTTGGCTTGACTCTTAAAGAAAAAGAAATCTGCAAAAAGAGAACCTGCAATGTACACATTTCCTTCACAGTCATCAACCCAAAAAAATATAAAGCAAAAATTGTTAACTTCACCAGTAAATATCCTTCTCATAAAAATTTATCAGTCACCCGCCTTTATCCACAACGGTCTCAACAATGACAAAGAAATAGGATAAACTTGTTAACTCTCATTTAACTTTTTTATTGCAACTCCCCTCTCTCCCTTACACAGTGACTCTCCCCTTTCTCCTGCTCCCTCCCTTCTCTCCTTTTCCCCATTCCCTAGACTTCCTTCTGCTCTGACAAAGCCCTGCACATCACATGAGCTGACAGAGGCATGTATGCTAACAAATAAAACGTGTGTCAGGATATTACAGTATTCTCACACCTGCTCTGATGGCTCCCAATCCCCTTCTTTGTTGTTCCCTGGCGGAAGCCATTTGAGGTGACATCCAGAGGTTCCTCAGGGACTGCACTCCAACTGATGGCTGTAGAAGAAAGGATTATGAACAAGGGAGATGCTCTTATCACAAAAGCAGAACCTAGCAGTTCCTATGTGTTCACATGCTGCTTCCCAAAGTAACTCAAACTAGAAAGAGGACCATGGTTCTCTAGGGCCGGAATTCCAGTACCTAAAAGAACAGGTAAACTCCGTTTAATTAAAAAAAAAAATTAAAATACACATATACACACACACACACACAGAGCTTTCATCTTAATTAGATCCTTTAAGAATGCATGCTTCTAAATATCTGGTCTCCAGCTTTGTAATTCTCCCTTTCTTAGGGGGATTCCACTTTCTTTTGTACATCCTGTCCAGATAAAACATGAAGAAATTTCCAAGTCAGATGGCTTATTTTCACATCAGGTAGTGAAACAGTCCCCTAAGCTACTTGCACCAGTCATTCTGTGTTTTCCTTAGTAATTTATTGTTTGCTATTATTTTATTGTGTAAATAGTTCTATGTTTGATAACTGATGTACATCAAGTATCCGTAGACTTTACTTGAAAAATATTATTAGCTAGTAGTCAAAAACAGTTTGCTGAAAGAAGTAGCATATGCCAACAACCTTATCCTTTGCCCCAATTCTGGGAACTTTGTCATCATTTGAGACTGTAAACTTCTTAATGCTGAAACTCTGCATAGGACACCTTATGATTTATAAGTAACCAGCAAAGCATCGGCAGCGTTGGCAGAACCCGGCGTGTCCCATCTGCCCCTGCACGGCAGGTCCTTTAACTTCTACTGCCGTAAGACAACTTCTGTTCCCTAAATTATCCCATTTCTCTGTGTTCCTAACAGGCAAAACAGTTGCATGTTCATTAACTCTAAAGACCATCTTGCCATCCAAGACTCTCAAAGACTGGTTATGATTCAGCTGCAACTGTCATACTCCACTAAGTGTCAATTGTACCTGCACTGTGATTTAAGTACAATTCTGTATGGCTCTACTAAACTACAATCTTATGTAGTATGAAATAACATTAGATACATACAACTGGTATTAAACCCTCCACATGTAGAATATCTAAAAAATCACCTGATCAGAGGACATCAGATTCTGACAAGCAAATACAAATTCACTTAAAAATGAGAACACTTTCTATTCTTTCACTTCTTCCTAATTATCTCGAACTTCAAAATACTAAACAGAACATGTTTTTCTTTTTTAAAAATACCAGCTGAAATGTTCCTATTGAGCATATTTCAATGCTCAGGGTAACAGCCCAGAATTTAGAGTTTCAATCCTTCAAGAAAAGAATCAAGCCAGCATAATTCACATGTGCAAAAAAAACCTGAAAAAGCATCATTCATTTTCATTTAACAAAATGACCTGAAAAGTGTACAGAAAGACAGACATACACTGAATTTAGTCGCAGTTTGTTTCAGATCTTTTTTGATATGTGAATTAGCAGTATTTTTCAATGATGAATTTTGTTTCCTATTTCAGAAAATCGAAATAGTTTCCTTCCTGGCACTTATAAATAACTCCAATTTAATGAATCTGAATTCCATTAAGGAACCCTTTGTTTCCATTCTATTTTATCATCAGCTCTATTGTAATAGAAAAACTTTCAGTTCTGCTTCAGACAGCAGAAGGCAGGCATGTCCAAGTTTAAGGAAACTGCTTAACCATACACAGAGTGGCAGCTCTATTTTTTTTTCCCCAAATGAGACCATGTTGCTAAATCACAACGAGACTTGCATATTCATTCATCACCATGACAAAAAATGCCATGTCCAAAATCTCTATCAATTAAACCTTTACACTATACTACTCTGTATTCTTTCTTCGTTCAGATTTCTGGAGCAATTACAAGCATAACTCAGCATGGCAATTCTTCTTTTCATTACCAAGGAGAATGCAAAACTAACTGAAACAAGAAGTCTTTTGATATTTTTGTTTTCTTCTTGCCCTCGGAACTTTTGTTTTCCCTGGTTATTTTCTGTCTGTGTTTAGATTATAAATTCTTAATGTCATCAACCAAGTGTTTATTCAGTCCGAAAACTCCCTACAGGAAACTAGAGGCTGAGCTGCATAATATTAATTATTAACAATTAAGTTATGACATGAAATTAATTTCCTGCTGTTCATACTTTGCCTCTAGCACTGGCACTGAATGATGTTCCAAACAATCCAAACCACTTCATTTCTATTTGGACTTTTGCACTCAGTTATGCAATTGGCCCAAGTTAACTCACCTGCACTACAAGGAACAAGTTTTGTTTTGCTGTTAGATTGAACTTCCTGAACTGCCTCACGACTGTGTTCAAATCGAAGATCTGACTGCAGCAGCTTAACCTCCTGAGCCAGAAAACCATCTGGTAAAGATGAGATGTGCTTACACCTAAAGTAAAGGCAGAAAAATGCAAATGATTTTCAGTCTGTTCTTCCCAAACAAGCCCATTTTGTATAATTTTCCTTCATTATCCAAAATATGTTGCTTTTACATGAAAAACTGAATTCAACATGAGTTACAAAGGAAAGACAATGAGGTTTGGAGTCATTTTTCCCTTAAAAAATATTTGTTAAAAAACAAACAAACAAACAAAACCACATTAGTTTATTAAGACCTTGACCATCCTAGAAAAACTACAATGAACTGATTTTTTAAAAGGTCTAGTTAAAAGCTAGTATGCAGGATAAAAACTGCAATACACTTCTGCAATCACAAAGAAAAATAATGATCATGAAGTACTTATGTCAACCACATTACATTAGCAATTTTTAATGAACCTAAAGGTTCATAATCAAAGCCTAAACAGATACAAAATATACTTGCAGTTCTATGTGTAATTGCATCTTCGTTACCTTACATTACCATTGCATACTGAATGAGATTAGGATATGACAAAAAAATATTTACACAGAGCAGGAACAAATTAAGACTGAGGTTCATACTGTCAGATGCAATAGTCTGAAAAAGTGCCTGACTTTGCAACCTAAAAATAATGAGGCTAGGCAAGTTCTTGTCATGTGTTACAGAGCAAGGAAAGGATTATACAGAGAGCTCCACTGGACAGGTAGTTCAGAGTTTCCCCATTAACACACTATGACCTCTCTTACAATCATCCTTGAAGGATGCAGGGCTATGGAGAAAAGGAGTTACTAAACAAAGTTAAACCTTTCATATGAACTGGTCTAGTAACTGCCTCTGGAAGAGAATGGTTCAGCTCCCTGGTTTCTTTCTTGCTCTCCTTTCCCTCTACTCTGTCCAGATCCATTTACTCTTCTCTACTACTTGCAGATTCCTTTGTTGCACACATTTAGCCTCCCAAGTAAGAAAAACATCCACTTCCTATCCTTTCATTGCTGAGATAGTTTTCATCAGCTCAAGGATCTGAGGGGAAAGCAAACCAGAGCACAACAGATGACTTTCCTCATTTAGCAGCACCGCACTTCATCTCCCACATAAATTTCCCTGAGGTGACAGGTTGTGCTAGGAGAGCTCTACTCACAGCAGGGACAAAGATCAAATCTGGGATGTAATTCAGATTAAAGCAGCAGACAAATTTTTACCACCATGGAAATGTATATAAGCTTTCCCTTTCCAGTGTAACACAACTCTGTCTTCTTCCTGTGGACCAGTGCAAGCTGTCACATGCTAGTCCTGAACCACTTCAGTAAATCAGAGAACACTTGAGGTGGGAAGAGACCTCTTGTAGGTCATCTGGTCCAACTGCCCTTGCTCCAGTAGAGCCACCTACAGCCAGTTGCTCAGGACAGTGTCCAGATGGCTTTTGAGTAACTGCAAGATGGGAGACTCCACAACCTCTCTGGGCAACGTCTGCCAGGGCTCCATCACACTCAGAAAGGATATCAGAAAGGATTTCCTGATGTTCCAAGGGAACCTTCTGTGCTTCAGTTTGTGCCCATTGCCTCTTGTCCTGTCATTGACACCACTGAAAACAGCCTAGTTCCATTTTCTCTGCACTCTCCCTTTAGGTATGTATACAAATTGATAAGATCCCCACAAGCCTTCTCTTCTCCAGGCTGAACAATCCCAGCTTTCTCAGCCTCTCCTCATATAAGAGGTGCTCAAAATCCCTTATGCATCTTTGAGGCCCCTTGCTGGACTCCCTCCAGAATGCCCATGTCTCTCTTGTACTGAGAAGCCCAGAACTAGACAAAGCCTTCCAGGTGTGGCCTCACCAGTGCCAGTACAGGGGAAGGATCATCTCCCTGGACCTGCTGCAATACTTTGCCTAATGTGGTTCAGGTCTCCATTAGTCTTCGCTGCCAGTGCACACTGCTGGCTCGTTTTCAACTTTGAGTCTAGCTGGACCCCCCAATCCTTTTCTGTGAAGCTTCTTTCCAGCTGGGCAGCCCCCAGCATGTATTGGTGCAGGACTTTGCACTCTCCCTTGCTGACCTTCATGAGGTTCCTACCTTTCTCCAGCCTGTTGAGGTCCCTCTGGACAGCAGCACAATGCCCTGGCACATCAGCCACTCCTCTCCATTTTGAGTCTTCAGCAAACTTGCTGGGCATATGCTCTGCACCATCATCCAGATGATTAATGAAGACATTAAACAGGACTGGATCTAGTATTGACCTCAGGGTACATGGCTACTTACACCTTCAACTACACCTTGCCCAGTGATCACTGCTCTCTGGCTCTCAGTCTGAATGGCTCTGGGCCCAGCCATTCAGACAGTTTTCAATCCACATGTCTGCTCAGCCAGCTCGTACTTTACAGATTCTCTATTAGGACCTTACAAGACGCAGTGTCAAAAGCTTACTGAAGTTCTGATATTTGTGTGACACACATTGTCTTTCCAAGCTCACTGTCTCCACATACACCATCTGATTTCCAAAGGAGAGCACTTACCTTTCAATAATTGCTCTCCGCATGGCTTCTTGGCTGTATGGACACTTCCCCACTACAATTGCCGACAGATACACTGGATACTGCAGGAAATGCATGAGAAGAGCTCCTTGACACCCTAACACATTCCAGCGAGCCAGTTTATCACTGCAGGACATAGAGCATGTTCTGTCTCCACGACCTGGCTTCACTCGTAATAATCCCACACAGTGGTACCCCAGCCCAGGTGTTCGGGCATCATCCAGCTCTCCAGGCACACATTTGGCTCCAGTTCTGTGAACATCTACTACCTTTGGTCTCGCCAAGCCAGTCTCCTTATGAGCTGTTTGCACCTCTGCAGAACAGTCACAGCACTTTTGATTTGTGTCATCTTCTCGTTTTACAGATTCTTGCTGAGCAGGCAGGTCTTTGCTGATTGTGGAAAAACAACCATCATCTTCAGTCTTCATTCTCTTGATTGCACGATTACTTGCCATATTCTCTGCTTTCCTTTTATCTTCTGGATACAGATGATCATGGTTACTTCTACACTCTGCTGATTGTCCAGCTGCATCACCTGCAGTCACTGGCTTAGAAAGCTGGTTCTCTGGTTCGCTGATTGGAATAATAGAAGCATCTCCACCTAGAACCAAAGAAATAACATAAAATTGGCCAAAAACACATTTCATGACTGGAACACATCACACCAGTAATATCACAACTACTATTAGCTTTCAGAGAGTTGCACTCAGCAAAATTTAACTACGAGAATGTGTTTTTAAGACAACATTGTCCTGTGCAATGATGAATCAGACTTCACTGAAATTTGAGCCAATATATGCTCAACTTCAAGTTTTGCATTCTACGTAAGAAACAATAAAAAGAGCAAAAGTTAAAACAAAACCTATAAAGCAAAAGGTAACAAAGGCATTTGACAGGCTACAAGCAGTGCTGAAGACTCGCAGGAAAGCCAGTCTGATCTAACTAAACAACATGAACCTCAAAAGAGTAATTAAAGAATAATCTGTCAAATAAGGGTGAAAACTTTAATCTGTATCACTGAAACAAGCTCAAAACCAGAATTCTGAAGCTCAGCTCAAAGCAAGCAAAGCAAGTCTGACAGGCCTGGTGACAAAAAGAGCATTTTCCATGACAGAAGTTGCAGGGGTTTTGTGTTTGTTTTTTTCGGTTTTCTGTTTTCACTGGGTTGAGGGGGGTATTATTTGCTTGGATGTTTTTAGTAACTGTGGTAAATGTCGGTGTTTTCTATTAAAATTTTAATCCAAGGAGAATGTTTAAAGCAAAGCAACTGCACAATATGACAGGGCCTTTGGCAAGTATCTTGGTTTCTGGAAAACAAAATACTACCTATTATTCTTTAAAGTGAAACATTCAACTATATAATGAGCAGTATATCAGATTTACTGAGCTCTCATGAATCACATCCAGCGAGATAAAATGCCAAATCTATCTGTAGAGGACCACTTAAGTGCATCTTCGGGCACATACCTGTAACATGAATTACTGCCTCACCCTCACTCCAGACCAAAGAGAAACCAAAGAAAGGCAAGGGGCAGAAAATATTTTAAAAGTGGGAGCAATGTAATTGGTTCACTCCAGCATACTCACATGGGGTATGACTGGAGAAGAAAACAAATATGATATTTGGTTTAAGCTTCCATTTTCCAGTTTCAGTTCCTGGACTAAAGATACTACACTGCTGATGGGAAGCTGCCAGCCACATCTGATGGAGAAGGTACCTGTTAGGCAGAAAGTTTTCATGAAACATTTACTGCATTTTTGATGCATGGGAAAACAACAAAACTTAGATGCCCTCTAGTGCCTGTTGTTTCCTGATGCAGTCTATGAGGAGCCAATCAGTTATGCTTCTACAGATAGACGGGATCCAACATACTCCATAAACGAAAACACATAATTGGAATTTCAATAACAGACCTCAAAGGGTTGTATTCAGTGGAGTTAACTATCTCCTCAAACTGTGTATATAAGGCCCTCTCCTCCCACTATGTGTGTTTTTACCAGCACTGGAACTCATCTGACTCTGTAAGACTCAGTTTGGTGGCATCAAATCGCAAGAAATGTACTAATTTCTGCAGAATTACTATTCTCCTGGCTCAGTTCCTTGAACCAGCTTATCCCATGTAAACAAGAGGACTGGATGTGGGAAACAGCAAAACTTCTACCCTTGACCAGTAGTCATCAGACCTGCACTGATGTCACATGAAATCAGAACCTAATTCTTCATAAAGAGGCTCTACAAGAACACAGACAAAACAAGCTTTTGTGAAAGGACCTTAACACCACCTAAAAGTGTAAAAATTAGGCTAAAATCCCGCTAACAGTGGGAAAGATTGTTGCCTCCAGAGAAGTAATGCAGTGTTTCATTACACTCTCCTATCTGAAGGGGCAAAATATGGCTATTTCAGCAACAGATCAAAACCATTTGTATTTCAAGCCCTTCAAGTGGCTTTGAGTAACAGCACATGAACTCACCTCTGGAAGCTCCTCTTGGCCACAACTTCAGCATGACTGTCATTCAAAATGTCTCCTAAAGCAACAACCAAGTGAGAATACAAATCACGACTGAAAAGAAGACAAACAAAGCAAACAGAATTTCACATAGCACAGTTCTCCAGATTTATTAGCATTTGAGGGTTTAACACTGGTATTAGGTTATTGTAAGATATTTAAACTTCCAATCACCACAAAAGGAGACTACACAAATGAAGGATAAAAAATGGACATGCAGAGCAAGGAAAGCCCTGCAATAAATAGTGAAAAACGGTAGTTGTGTGAAGTCATGTATCTAACTCATACACTTTTGGTACAAACACTTAAAACTATCTCATTGCAGAATATGCAGTAAGGGAGAAAAAGCCTGTTAGTGTCTTCCTGATGTCACCCCAAACTCAGCAGTGGCAGACTGTCAGGTAAGCAACGCGCAATTATTTTGCTTATGTTTTGCTTTGCTTTTAGCTATGATGTCTTTGAGCATGCAGACTCAGGACCTAAGCTACACATTTCTACATATAAAAAGTTCATTCACCCTTAAGGCAGCAAGTGCAGCAAACTTTCAGGGCAGCCATTCTGGCTGCCTAAGCTCCTCTCTCCTTGATAAGGGGTGGTCTGACTTACACTTCTGGCTTCAATTCAGAATAAGTCTGAGCAGAACGCTTTGTACATTTTTATTGATTCTATGACACCAGCAAGAGAGAAGATAACATAGGTAGTCTGTTCTCGAATTTTACACCATACTTACCATTTTTTCTCATTTTGTTTTGGCCAATACATTTTGTTCCAGTTCCCATAGCAACAACTTCCTTAGATACTGAAAAAGAAATGTTAACTGAACAAACTATCACCAACTATTGACAGAAGTCTTGCTCTTACACAGTTATTCTGGTAAGACAACACACAGAACATTGTGTAGAAGGGAATGGACAGGGAGACAGGCCATGCAACCTTACAGAAAGCAAACAGATCCAGAACTGAACACAAGAGGCAGAGGCACCAGTGTGAGAAAAGTCTATGATGGCAAAGTAGGAATGCCAATAGAGGTTTGATGTGCCAGGCAGCACAAGTGGACACTGGCAGAGCATTCCCCAAACACATAAGAAATAAACACGGGATACAATCTGCCTGACGACACTGAAGTGCCAGTAAGAGAAAGGAATATATACACAAATGCAAAATGCAGTAAGACAGTCTGTTAAAGGAGAGTAAACTGAGACCTTCCCAGGATTCTTTCAAATAGTAGCTAAACATTTTTGCAAGTGTTTATATTAGGAATTCAGGTCCTGCCTAGACCTTCACCACTTACTGAATAGCCAAATGCAGGCTTTCATCTTCTTAGTTAGTCTGGGAAGAACAGCGTTTCACTATAACCATCTCTTTCCAGACAGAAGTTGTAAAAGCTTTTACAATCACAAAGAGTAAAGAATTTGGGTGGAGATAGAAATGGGACAGGAAGGGGTGTATGCTTTTCTTAAAAGTCATCTTGGGGGCAGGGGGGGAAAGCGCATCAAGGACTGCCACCTCCTCTCCCCATTCCCCACCTCCCAACCCTATCCCAACTCATTCTTACCCTGGAGGTTCCCTGGACTAGCAAAAACCTCAGTTTGGGCTGCAGACTCCACTTTGACAACAGCTGCTAGTGAAGTCCATTCCCTGTTTGGATCTGGCTTCCCCTGCCTGGGGAGTCTCGTCCTATAATGCAGGTAGCACAGCTCAGCGATTTCATCAGCTGACCACATGGCTCCCGGTGCAGGTGCGGGCTCCGAACGGGGCCGGATTCCCTCACAGCCCGCGAACACCCACCCGCACCCTCCCCGTGAGGACACGGGCGGGGGATCGGCCGCGGGCGGGGCCGCGCACGCGCAGCCGCGGCCCGAGAGCGGCTCCTGCGCACGCGCACAGAGGCAACGACAGCGGGGGCGAAACAAAAGATTTACCCCAAGGCCGGAATTTTGTCAGTGTTGAGCAGGCGTCCTTTATTGACAGTACTGGGGCGCACCGGGGATAAACGCGCCCTTAAGTGCTCCGACAACATCACAAAAGCAAAAACCTCTTTTCACAAGTCATTACACGTTCATGTTAAATCCCGCCTAGTCCACGCCCACGCTATATTTATCGCTGTAATTATTTCACGGTCTCTGCTCCCATCTAGCGTCCTTTTATCTAATTACATTTACAGTCTCTTAGAAACACATCTTTTTAGTCCATAAATAATTCTGTTGTACTGCTTGTATCTCTTCGCTTCAAATGACTTGTTTCACAGCCTTTCAAATGACTTCAACGCTGGAAGTTGACTGGTTACTTGTCAGTTCGCAGATATATGCTATCTATTTGCAAAAGTTATGTTCCTTTCCCAGTTCCTATTATCTAAAAGTTAGAAAATTCTCAGCAAGTTAAGCAAAATCAAAGGTTCTTGTACATATACTTTAGCCTAACATAATTCTATGTTAGTTCTTTATTAAATGTTTTCTATTAAAGTGTTAGTAGAAAAATTAAAATCTTTAAAAAACTTATACTAATAAATTCAAGCTTAATTTGGAATATAAAAGATTTAGCAGATAGTGTTTAACAGTTCCCTTTCAGTTGTCTCGTTTCCAACTCATGAAACTGGTTCTTCTGTTCTTTGTTTTTGGTTGGGTAGTCTCACAGCCTTGGAGGCTGGTTTCTGATCGGTTACTGCTTTTAAGCAATACAAAAACATCTTCAAACTACGTGTCTTACCTTAAAAGTTATAGGATTCTCCGGCAAATTTCTCAGACAAGGAAAGATTCCAACAACATTAATATCAGGTAAGTTTCTCAGGTAAATTAAGCAAAAGCATATAACAGGATTAACAACCTTTTTCAGGGTGCAAAGAGCGTTGCCTTTATTTATGTTCGCGCCACCCCGCGCTCACACAGAGGGGCCTGTGACGGTCTGGAGCCTCACACGGAGGTGCCCTCGGCAGGGGGCTCAGGCTGTGCCTCCTTCTTGTTGTCCTCTGGCTTCATGGCGGGGAAGAGCAGCACCTCCTGTGGACAGTGACAGTGTCAGCACCACGCACAGGTCTCGTGAGAACAGCCCCAGCCCAGCTCAGCCTCCCCAGAGCTGAGCAGGCACAGTGAAGGAGCTTTTCCTAGGGGAACTGTGCATCTCCAGGCCTCTGACACACGGCTGCACTGTTGTGTCACTGTTGAGGAGATGGCCAGCTTTGCAGAATGCCATTCCCTGCTCCCTGAAAAGCCTGCAGTTAGGCACTGCCACTGCCAATGCTTACCTTGATGTTATTGGAGTCTGTAAGGAACATGGTCAAGCGATCAATTCCCATGCCCCAGCCGGCTGTAGGAGGAAGGCCGTACTCCAGGGCAGTGCAGAAGTTTTCATCAATAAACATGGCTTCATCATCACCTGCAGCTTTTGCCTAAACGAGGAAGTTAATAGTAAAAGGTGGATTGTACAGAGCTAGATAGCACCACTTTGCTACCAAAAAAGAGGAATACTAGTATTTGTAGCAGCCATGGAGCTGATGAAATCTAAACCCTGTACAGCTGTGGAAGTGAGTAACAAATGAAGGAACCGCAGCACCTGGACAACTGTGGGGGCCACTTGTACAGGTGCTCCCAAAACAGCTCCAGGCTCAGTTCCTTTCTGACCTGTCAGTTTCCTCTCTTGGCAAAGGCCCAGGCTCTTCAGTAAAAGCCATCTTCAAAGCCATACAGCAGCACATGACAGCGGAATGAATTGCTTTTAAAAGCTTCTCAGGTTCTTTATTGCTTGCAACCCCTCCTTTAATGTTTGCAGAAACAACTAAGAAGCATAACTGTTTGAATCAGCAGTAGCTGCTCCATGAAACAAAATTTAGGGACTGCCTTTTTCCTCTCACTTAGAAAAATTAAAAAACCCTACACTGAGATAGTAACTAATGCCCTGACAGCCTCCAAGTGACAAAAGTCACAATAATAAAAAAGCAGACTAGCCATCTCAAATTTAGACAATGCCAAACATGTCAAAACAACAGCAAACATTTTTGCCCAGTTTCAAGGAAGACTTTGCGAAAGACTTAAAGCAAACTTTTCTGCCTGAAATCTTAAAATGCAAACTGTCATTCTTCACCTCAGTCTCCACCTTAACATTAAATTTTCAGGCAAATTTTCATTCAATACATATAATCCTATATCTGCAAAGTCTGACTATAATCATGAGACAGCTACAGTAAATGTATATACAACAGATGAAACATAACAGGCATCTGTAGTATTAGTCATTCTGACTGAACATTTTGAAATTTACTATCAAGTTAGTTAACATAAGTCTATTTTACTGACTTTGACAATTGTTTAATCCTCTCAGGCACTGTGAAGCAATTAGAGACAGTATAAAGGACAGCTTTGTTTCTGCAAACCACATCTGACCTCAATCATTTGGGGACAAGCATGCATTCATGGCTGTGTATACCTAAGTAATAATAAAATGAGTTTCAGTCACTCCTTTAAGAGACCTATTATTTAGAGAAACCTAGCAACATAAATTTGCAAGCTAATAATTTCCAATCTGCAGCTCTGTTCTGTGAGTCGACTTAAAATATTAATAACTCAGTTTAGGACATTAAGCTATTTCTTACACAGCATTCAAACTCTTACTGGACATGAAAATTTACTTAAGAGCTTAAAGTATAATGTTGTATGACTATGTAAATACTTAGTTGGGGAAAAAAACTTTCAACCTAGGCAAGACACAGAAAACACTTTGCACATTTGTGTTTTTCCAGATTAGTACTTTAGGTAGAATAAAAGGGAAAATATTCCAAAACAAAGTTGCACTAAAAAAAACTAATCAACAGCAGTGTTTGGACTTGTTTACCTTAGAGAGTAAGGTTCCTTACTTTAGATAGCAAGGTTCCTTTAAGAGGAATTGAATTTTAATGACAGGCTTTCACTTGAGTGAGCAACACTCGCCTCAAAGTAGTAACTCTTTTCAGCAGTAGGTACCAGTGACTGATTTGGAGGAGCCATAGGAAATACTCTTTGCTTACACATCTGTATCATTGATTCACCATCAGCAAGACATCATACCTTGGCCTGATCCTCGAAGAGCTGCCGTTGTCGGACGGGATCGTTGAGCTCTGTGTACGCATTGCACACTTCCTTCTTCATCACAAAGAGTTCGAAGCGTTCAGTCAGTCCTGGATGGGAGCGATGCCTGTGTGAAGAAGGCAAAATGGCCAAACCTTAAAATTAACATATTTATTGAAGCAAAGAGCACATGCATTACTATGGGGGACTGTGCACACTTGGCACTAACAGCTGTCAAAACTTCGACATGCTTTTTCCCTGGATGATGGGTTTCACAGCTCAGGAACCAACCTTAATTTCTGTCAGAATTCACAAATTAGCACACAACATCAAAATCTCTGTTTTCACATATGTGACTTCCTTTTTTTTCTTTTTTATAAAATAGGAGTAGAGCATTTAAAAGAATTACATACTGACTGTGACTCATACTCTTACCATTTGGCAAGAGGACTCATGACCTGTGGGTGATCACAGATGAATGTAGGGTTGATACATGTGACTTCCAGGAATTCACCAACTAACTGGGAAAACAAAAGTGAAACAATTACATAGAGTACAAAAACAAAATTACATAGAGTACAAAAACAGAATTACATAGAGTACAAAAACAATATCACTTTCCGAGCACTGCCTTCACAAAGCATCCTGATTTCTTCCCTTTGCTACTGAAGGTGGTACCATAAATTCTAAGAGTTTCCCAAGTAATAATTTCTGATCATGGTAATGTCTTCATTAACAGAGAGTGTGTGTCCTAGTCAGGTAAGAAAAATGACATAGCAAAAACTGTATAATAATTCACTTTGCATGTTACAGCAAGGCCAAAAAGAAAAGCACCAGAAGAACAGCTATCAGACAGTGTTTGGGTACAGCTGACGGAACTACATGCTAAGCCTACCTGTTTGGTAAGGTACCTACAGATACACACATCTCTCAGACAAAATTGACATGAGATAAAGCAGATCTGCTTTAACCACAAGACACCAGCTAACAAACTAAAATTCTCTAGCACTCAAATTAAGCAGACATAAGTAAACTACATTTTAGTGTAGACAACACAAAAGAAGATTTTGACACAGCAAGTTTTCTCACTCTAATACAGCAATAGCTGATATGCACTTCAGCACAGTTTCCCAGTTAAACTTCTCTGAAGAGGCTTCTGTTGATACAGATAAACCCTCAAAGACATTAGGATTATAAAAACAGCACCCTTACTTACTTTGTCAAGAAGCCTGGCTGTTGTCCTGGGAGGTGGACATTCAATGTCTCTCTCTGCACAAAGATTATCAAAGAACTTGCGAGTTTCTGAAATTATAAACAAAAAATTAGAAAAGCCACCCAAGCAATCATTTTTTGTTCTTACTAGATCCTTCAACATGTTTTAGAGTGATTTAGAAGATCTTAATGGTAGACATCATGGAAAACCACGGGCTTAAATGTCAATCCACAAAAATAGTGTCTCACTTTAATAATTTACAGTAAAATATAAGTTATGTTATACTTCAGAAATTTGATACCACCACATGACTGCTGGACATTATTATTGGAAGAAAAAAAAAAAACCACTAAGAAGTGTATGAATTTGTTTTCTTATGTCTATTGATTCCAGGAATAAAATAGCACATAAGTACATTTTGAAGAAAGTCCCTAATAATCATACACCTAAGCTATGATTGCAGGCGCAGAAACTCAACTGCACAAAAGACAGAAGAAATAAGAAGTAAAAAGTTGTATCTCTTCAACAGATCAGGAA